CTCTGCTCTGCTCTGCTCTGCTCTGCTCTGCTCGGCTCTGCTCTGCTCTGCTCTGCTCTGCTCTGCTCTGCTCTGCTCTGCCCTGCCCTGCCCTGCCCTGCCCTGCCCTGCCCTGCTCTGCTCTGCTCTGCTCTGCTCTGCTCTGCTCTGCTCTGCTCTGCTCTGCTCTGCTCTGCTCTGCTCTGCTCTGCTCTGCTCTGCTCTGCTCTGCTCTGCTCTGCTCTGCTCTGCTCTGCTCTGCTCTGCTATCTGCTCTGCGCTGCTCTGCTCTGGCTCTGCACTGCTCCTGCTCTGCTCTGCTCTGATCTGCTCTGCTTCTGTCTGCTCTGCTCTGGCTCTGCTCTGCCTCTCTCTTCTCTCTCTCTCTCTCTCTCTCTCTTTCTCTTCTCTCTCTCTTCTCTCTCTCTCTCTCTCTCTCTCTCTCTCTCTCTCTCTCTCTCTCTCTCTCTCTCTCTCTCTCTCTCTCTCTCTCTCTCTCTCTCTCTCTCTCTCTCTCTCTCTCTCTCTCTCTCTCTCTCTCTCTCTCTCTCTCTCTCTCTCTCTCTCTCTCTCTCTCTCTCTCTCTCTTCTGAAAGACACTACTCCTGATCGACGCTTGTGAACGACACTTTTGCCTCCAAATGCGCACTGCGCCACAGCGAGAGCGATTCGACCCACCCAAAGCGCGCAGAGGGTTCACTTCGCATGCTCAAAAAGCGCACCGAGCCGATTCGACCCACCCAAAATGCGCGCAGGGTTCACTTCGCATGCTCAAAATGAGCACCGCACCACAGCGAGAGCGATTCGACCCGCCCAAAGCGCGCAGAGGGTTCACTTCGCGTTCTCGAAATGTGCACCGCGCCACAGCGAGAGGGATGTGGCTGAGTCAAAGTGGACGTGCCTGCCACGAAATCTACACCCAGGCGCCAAAGTACTGCACCTGCCACAAAATTTGCACGAAAAGCTCCAAAGTGCTGTGCCTGCCACGAAATTCAACCAACACGCTCGAAAGTGCTGCGCGCTTGCCACGAACTCAATATCATCCAAACTGCTGCACCTGCCACGAAATCCAACTTTGACACGTTTGCGACACGCATCCAAAACTAGAGCGGGATTGTGGCGCCAGAGTGATTTCGACCAGTTTTGACACCTTTCAAGCTCGCCAAAACGAGCCGATTGTACAACAGGGCCAACGAAAAGGACGCCGGCGCAAACACATCGCGCGCCTGCCAGGCAGGACGCCTCAAAACGACCACCCCTGGAACGCAAATCGCAGTGGCACGGCAACGAGAACAGCCTTCCAAAACACTGCGCCTGCGCAGCGAAATAACACGCAACGCTGCAAAAGACACGATTCACGCACGGGCGCAACGAATTCAGCGCTTCAAGACTCATCGAAAAGTCACCTGTTGCGACAATCCCAATGGCACGGCAACTTTTTCCACACGCGAACTCTCGCGAACGCTTCTGAACGCTTTCAAAAGCTTTACGAACGCTTTCGGCCACACGCGGGCCGACCAGCGAACATATAACCTTTCCCCCAGACCCCACTTACTATCGGGAACCCTTCGCTACGCATGCGGGAAAAAAGGGTACCCTTTTTCGAACCTTTTGAATTTTGGTGTTTGATGGGGCCCTCTACATCCATTTGCTTGAGGCTACGTTGCATTCCCCTCTGGCTTCAAAGCCGGACATGGTCTCCATTTCAGGAATCAGCGGGGGTTTGTCTGAACCGGGTGTTTCTGTGACGTATCAACGTTTTGGATGTATCAGACGGGGGAAGTTCAGCCAGAGATGAGCTCCAGCGAAGCAAGCCACCACCATGGTTTCCACTCGACCACCCGAGTTCAACAGAAGCCGCATATGGGTTCTTTTTTTTAAATAAATATATATATATATATATATAGGGATTTGTTCTTCAGAGAAGCCAACTGGAGCCGACCTTTTTTTGGGGGGTCCATCAGAAAAAATGTTCGGCACGGCCAAATGGACATTAAAACTACACGCCACTTTCCTCTGGGGCCCTCTACGTTTTGGGGGGTAGCTTGTGACCGTTCCCGGGACGGGGAAAGGGACTGGACACACCAAGAAGATCGATTTGACTGGCTACACCAGAAACATCGCAGTACAGTTGGTGACCCCCAAAAAGGGGTGGTTTCAAAGGTAATTAAACCAAAAGGAAAACAACAACTGTCGGTCCAATTCCCGAAACAAAGTTTGCCCCGCACATTCTGCATTTCAGTGTTGAATGATTACGTCCGCACCGCACTCTCCCAGGCAAACGATCAGACCTTGGTCGAATTTGGCCGACCCAGCCTCATGTTTGTTTTCTTCTTGGACTTCCATACTTTTGGGGGAAAACCGCTAAAAAAACAAAACAACATTTACTTAATTAAACTTAAACACAACAAAACAACAGGTTACTTTTTTGGGCCATCCACGGCGCCGATCCTCAGGCTCCTTGATATCTTATGGCTTACCTTGGTTTCCGCCACTTCGTCCACCTTCCGCCGCGCGCCGCTTGCCTCGCGCAGCGGCCAGGCGCAGTTCATGCAGGGCAAGGGCCGCGGCAGGGGGCAGGCGCCCACGCCGCACGAGAGGAACTTGGAAGTGACCAGCCCGCAGCCTCAGGAGGTCCAACGGACCCGACGGTTTGTTTTTTTGGTGCGGAAGAATGGCCGGTCCAACGCAGTTGGTGGGTTTGGAAAGCTGACGAAAAGGGATTTGGTCCCGGAAGCTCAGACTCGTGTGCTTGGGATTTGTTTTTTTTTTTTTTAATCAACAGGAGCCACCTCAACGGAGGACATGAATCCCTTCATGTGGGCCCTGGCTTCGATCCTGATCCAAGAAGCTGTGATCAATTCGTTTGAATAGGTTCTACTGGGTCTTTCTGGCTTCAAGTTTTTTGGGAGAGCGAGTGCCTTCCATGTGTGTTTCAGAGTGTGTTTTGTTTTCCCTTTTGGGTTTTAAGGGAATCTGTCGTCTACTGGAACTATTTGTCTATTTTCCAGGGGGCGTAAGAGGTATTGCTTGGGAGTTCAGAGCACACGTGTAGGGCCCGACACCGCCCCAAGTAGCCGTCGCGAGGCCGAGACCTCTTCCTGGAGCGTGAACGCGTCAAGAATCAGGCCCGCTCTGAGCGGAGCCGCCAGGGGCCCAGCACCGAAGCACCGAAGTGATGCCTCAACTTCGCGGTTGGCACGTGGGTATGGGTCAAAATTAAACCAGCAGGAAATGAACCGCAGGTTATAGTCCTGGGTTACATTTACCAATGGGTTACCAAGGGCCCATGTTGGGGTACTATTTTGTGACCCACTGCCATGTTGTTAGGCTTTTAGGTGAGCCGCAATCGAAACTCCGGGTAGATGAAGGTGAGCAAGGGATACTCCCAACCATAATCAGCTGCGGATCTCCGCCTTCTTAGAATTCTTAAAGCATGGTTCTGGGTAGACCATGTTAGTACCGAGTTTTGATCCTGACTCAGGTTTTGTTTGGTTCTCTTTTGTTGTTAAGGGTGCTGCCAACAAGCAAGGTCCTTTCCTACCATACTGTGGATGGGCGAAACTCATTTCGCGCCACCTAAGAGGCGCTGGACTGATTCGATTCGTCTAGTACCAGCAAACCATAACTGGTTCCAACTCCATGGTTTCAACGTTGTGGTGCGAGCAGCGGATCTCGCCACCACAGCTTGACTGCTATTGGTTTGGATCTTTAGACTTTAACTTTTTGGGAACCAAAGGTGTTTTCCACTAAACCCCTAAAAAGTTAAACTTTTTGCACGGGGGTCAACAGCAACCAAGACAGTGTCTCCCCTTTTAGCTCCCTATGTTTCCCGTGTATCTTTCCCATGTCAGCCCCCCAAGGGGACCCCCCGAGACCCAGGAACCCTCGCCCCTATTGGGGGGAAAAGGCCTGGAATTCGCCACCCGTTGTAAACAGGGCTCCTTAAAAGATGCATTTTGCAACCATTTGAAGCATGTTGCTTCTTCAACACCAAACTAAAGTTGGACACCACCAGAAAACAAGGCAATGTTCAGGTGTTTTTCATGTAAGGATCCCTGGTAAAGTAAAAAACCATTGCGGGCGTGCAACGAAGCCTCGGCTCCGAGGCAAAGAACGAAGCCGAAGCCGGGATCGCAGCCGCCGGCGAAGGCGCGTTTACGAATCATTGGCCTCAAAGAAAGGGTCCGTGTTACTGAGAGATGCCCCTTTGTTTAGATTGGTAGGTGGAGACTGGTTTTCAGAAAGAGGAGTAAAACTTTTTCAGCTGCTACTCAATTGGTGGTTTGGATTGGTGGTTTGGGATTTTCCCAGTTCCGAAGCCAAATGCGGTTTTGGTAGCCTCGTCCGAACCACCAAACCACCAATCAGTGGAAAGCAGCGGATGTTTGGTTGGTCTTAAGAGGAACATAAAGGGCGAACCACCATTTTGGAGGTCTGCAAAATGACCCGAGAGTGGTTGTACGTGACCCAGTCCTTTCAATTGCCATACTTAACCAAGGGAAACCATGGTGAAGCCTATCAAAACCCTGGTTACCTGCTATAGTGGTGACTCAAAGCACTGGGAAAAAAATGTTCCGACATATCCAGGGAGGTTCCGGGCCATGGCGTAGGAGACTCACGCTCACCCAATGTCCCACTCTCTTGTATGTACAGAAACAAGATACTTTCAGCTTTCCAATATGGCTGTGGGTCAAAACCAATGGTACCATTGTGGGGTGGTGCACCACCCATTTTAGCCTATTTTAGGGGGGATTGGGATGTTCACCGGGGGTACGGGCTTTTGACCCATGGCTATTGGTGGTTTGGAGCCCGGGGGTTTGGTGGTTTACAGGATGGTGTCCCATTTGCTCTGCAAGAACCGAAAATTCACATCCCCAGTTCCCACCAGCCACCAACAAGGACTGTGGCCCAGGTACTCCTTGTTCAGGTTTCCCTTTGTACCCAACTGGGGGTGGGAAGGAACATGCCGGTGAGTGTTTGCATGGCCTCTGCTTGCCATGAGACAGCGAGAGAGCGAGAGAGACATCACATCGCCATCTCACTGGAGTCATAGTCAAAGATGATCGGCTTAAAATGGTCGTAATTACTCCTAGAGCCATGCTTCAAGAATTGAAGAGGCGGATCTCCGCACCCATTTTGGCTGCAGTTTCCCGTTTTTGAGTGTGACTCACTTTAGAATGGAGATGTTCCCGCGCTCCGACTCCTTTCCAAAGGATGACCAAAGCACGCTTGGGTCTAAAACTAGTTTTCAGGGGGAGGAAATCCAACCATTTTCAGGGTCCCCTATTTTGAGAAACCTTCAAATGAGGAGGAAAGGGCTTCGTACCTTCGTCGTGTTGTAAGCTATTTACACTAGCCCCCTAAAGAAGCCCCGGGCAAAGAAAAGGCGTGTCGGACATGTCTGGCTTGCGGTCTAGCTTGGTCTTGGCGATCAATATGTTACTTGTCTGGCTAGCGGCTACTCTTATTCGCGCCGATCGGCGCAAGTTGGTCGACAATGGCATCCCCAACAAGCCATGGTTTCAACCAGGGTTTCAAAGTGGTGCGAAATGGATTTTGTCCATCCACAGTACTCTCAGAACTCCCCCCACCTAAATGGTGCTTTGGAGCCCAGCTTTGAAGGCGATGGGTGTTTTCCCGGCTTGTCCACAAGAAGGGGCTCCAAACCGACTTATCAGAAGGGGGGAAGCCAAGCGCAAAGACTAGATCCACGCTGCGAGTTTGCGAGAAGCCTAAAACACTCATTACGAAAAGAGTTTTGTTTTAGAAAAGAGTCTATTGCTTTTTGGGCGTTTGTCGGGTAGTGGCGGCAAAAACCATGCTTCTGGTGGTCACATTTTTCCTATTAAGGGAATTATCTGACAAGAGCTGACCATGGCACAAAACGCCTTTTTTGTTTGCATGGGTGACCTGTTTTTGCGCCAATCCACCCATCCTTTCCCAATGAAAGGTGCGAACTCCAAATCCTTATATTACCCTACCATTTGCCCCGTTTGATTGGGGGCTTTACATCATGCAGTTTGCAACAATACATGCTCAGTCTTCCGTATTCTGCAACAAGACGTGTTTAGCATGCCGTAGTGTGCAACAACACATACTGCAAGCTGGTGTACCCGAAGCATCGCACGTTGCTCCCCCCCAAGACCTTTTCCGTTAAGGTTGCTTTGCAAGTCAAGTTGTTGCAACGAACAGAACTACACCATCAGGCGCCTGAGCTGAAGGGATGGGTTGAGTGAGTGTTTCCGCCGCAACCAAAAACTTCGAGTCCCTTCGCGTGGATTCCACTTTATCCATCGAAGCCATGGCGTGGTACGTGGTGGTTTTCTGGTGGCTCGCTGCTGCCGAGCCACCTCTGCGGCCCTTCTCCAACGATTGCTGTGGCTCATGCGATGGCAAGCCCTTCTGTTCGCCCATCAGCGGCAACTGCTACGATGAGAAGGGCAAGCACTACTGCTTGGCGTGTGCGGCGCCAGGCTCCACAACCCCACCCACTGCAGGAGTAGCTCGATGTGATCCATTGACCGTCTTGATGGCTGCCTTCAAACGTCTGCCGAGTGTCAAAGCAGGTGCAGGAGCACTGTTGGCTGCAACGTCTATGCCTGGAAGAGTCCCACTAGCGCCTGCGGTGGGAATGGTCACTGCTGGTTGTTAATGGACTGGTGCTCTGTGAATGATCCATGCTGGGAGCAGTACCGGCTGGACAGACTGACACTGCCGGCAAGCAAGCCGGCTGAGTTCTGGTCAGGTTGGGCAGGTGCCCCCTCTTAGCCTCTGCTAAGTTAAAGACACATCAGTGAGCCATTGCAATGTGCAAGCCAAGGCAGAAGACTAGCGCACAGCTATTTGCACAGAAAGCTTGTGCCGTAGCAATCTTTGCAAAGAGCCATGCTGCGACTTGCAGGCAAGAGCAGTAAAAAAGCGAGAGAGCAGACGGACATGCCGCTGTGTCTAACATCAAGGCTTTGACACTCGGAGGTAGGGTGTTTGGGAAAAACCGTACCATTGAGGGCGGAGTGGCCTCAACACGAATATTGCGATATTATATATATATATATATATATATGTATATACACATACTGTGGATGTGTATATATACAATATTATGTAGTTATACTTGCTGCTGTCCAAACGGGCAAGTGGGATTGCAACTCCCCTATGGAGGCCATGACTCTTCAGTCCTTCTACAAAACAGCAAGGCAGTTCCCATGGTTGTACTGGAAATGGTCCCCAAAATGAACCCAAGGCTCAGCAGGGAATGAGGGAATGGCCCCAGGACCCCTGTAGACCATCTCACAGGAACCCCCAGATTCATTCCCTCGTTCCCTACTGAGCACCAGAAAGCATATTCAAGCATTGGAGCAATGGCCGTGTCCTTCCTGTCCACCCTTTTGGTTTTAAGCATCAAAGCTTGGGCCAATTTACTTTTTTAAGGTTGGACACACCTTTGGGACCCTGCCCAAAATGTATGCCTTCATATATATAGTTCTATTGTTATTGTGTCATAGTTATTTTATAGCTGTTCTTGAAGAATTCAAGGTATGATTTGTTTTGTTTACTTCTGACCCCATGACCACATCAATTTTAAACCTAGACATCTTCAAAATGAGAATGTGGAAGTGATAAAGCTATAGACATATAATTATTTCCTTATCATTCCTCTAATGTTCATCCTTTTTGTTTTGATAGCGCATATTGTTGAAGATTGGCAAGGAATACACAGTATATTTATGTTTTATAATGCTTGTATTGATCCGCATGTTTATAATTACTTTACTTTAGGACTTTTGATAGACTTATTATCGGGTTGACATTGTATTTCATATCCTGAAGTAAATAATGCAATGATACGCTGAAGTAACTTCTGGATGTCATTTACCCCGTCATAAGCCAACCATCCCCGGCCGCTTTCATCTGGATGCTCCAGGAACCAAGTCTTCCAGATGTTGGACTAGTTTCCTCGGCACACAAACACCCCTCCGCCAAAACCCTTCTGGGTGTGTCCATAGGTGTCCTTTTTGGTTGTTTTGGTAGAAGAATAGATGGCCCTGGTTTATCTGGTGGTTTGATCATCTACACCTATGGGTGTGTCTGTTTTTCTGGCCCCCCAGAATGATGTTTTTCCTTTCGGCTTCGCTTCAAAACCAGCACAAAATACACTCAAACAAGACGGCCTGGCAGTCTACAAAGCAGTTTGGAGAGGCGCTTTTTGTGTAGTCCACAAGTTTTTCCCCCCGTTGGTCCTTTTGTAGCAGTCTTTTATTTAATATTCTACAGGGGTGGACCCACAGATTCGTCTTTCAGTACTCTTTCAATATTCTACAGGGGTGGATCCACAGATTCGCCACATCCACCCCGTTTTCTAGAGAGAGTGGGACCTCCTGGGAGGTTCAGTTTCTAGATGCAGCTTCCATTGCACTTCCCGGGGTCCGATGTGTTTGATTCGAGGAGACGGAGCAGCGACAGCAGCCGGTCGCGGCGCCGCAAGAAGAGCGGCAGCCGGAGCCGCGGGCGGAAGTGAGAGAGGCGGGAGCTGCCGGAGCTGGGAGGCCATTTTCTCTTTGGTGCATTTTGCTTGGGAGCAACCGAGTTCTTTGAGGAGTTTGGGGAAAGGGTTTAGATAAAGGGTTTCCTTTCTTGGGTTTGTTTACAGTGAAGCAAGGGTTTCCTTGTTTTGGAGTTGGAGCCCTATGTTGGGTTTGTTTTGAAAGCAAGCTTAGATGGGCGCCATCCATTCTTAAACTTCACCAATTTTGTAACACCCAACCGGGGTGAGTATTTTAAAGGTGCAGCGCCCAGATCTCCCCTCCCTCCTGCAAGGGCCATTTCAGTAGGTTGAATAGGAATGGTACTGTGCATGGACGAATCCTGCACCTAAGAAGCTTTGGAATGATTCGACTCCCCTGTAAATGCCAACCAACAATGGTTGCATTTCGTTTCGTGCTCCGAAAGTCTAGGGATACCTTCCATTTCCATTCTTTCCAGAACTCATTTTTTGTAGAGAACCTTCAGAAACCCAGGGAAAACGGATCCGGTTTTTGCAAGGAACGAGGGTTGAACAGAATGGAATTGGAATCAAACCCTAGAGAGACGGTTCGGGCCACCATGCGCAGCAAGGCCCATCAACTTTCATGATTATCGGAAGGTCGAGCTGAAAGACGAGCAGGGATGAGATTCGGGTATGTTTCAAACTGGGGGGGGTATTGGCCCAAAATGTGGGTATCCGGTATCCTTGTGCTTTCTCTCTGCAGGTCCTCAAGTAACATTTCCCTCCAACATTGACTTTGACAGGCCTTGCCTTGGGTTACCTCTTTGGTGGCGGTGGCATGCCGCACGTGGGCTCTGAGAAGCTCATTGCAGCGGCGGTCGCGCGACACAGCCTTTGCAGAGGCAGTGGAGAAGGGTCTCCACTGGACGATCATCTCCCACGAGGTGATGGAGGCATACCCGGCGCTGGCGGACCTCTTGCAGGAGTCGCACAACACGGGGGCCCAGCTCCAAAGGAAGGAGAGCTTCAGCTTTGCAGAAGGCTGCTTTCCGCATACCAAGCAAAAAGCCACAAAAACGCAGCGTGGTCACCTGGAAGGCCATCGCGGACCTGTGCAGCCACAGCGCCGTAGCTATACGCGTTCGTGCTCCGCTTCGGGGGCGGCGCAAATGCAGAGCCGTTGATGGAAAGTGAGCAGTTCCTCAAGTCAGGGCCAAGCCAGAAACAGCTAGTCAAGACAGACCTCTTGCGCTGCAGACACGCTGCGTTGCGTCTCCCCGCGGGATTGGCTAACCTTTAATTTGGACAAGACCCAGAGGGTGCAGAGGGTGGGAGGGAGGGAGGGAGGGAGGGAGGGAGGGAGGGAGAGTCGGAAGTACTGGCGCAAAGACGATGTCCCCAAGCAACCCACCCCACCCTACCCCACCCCCTACCCCACCCCACCCGCCCCGCCCTGCCCCGCCCCACCCCACCCCGCCCCACCCCAACCCAGTTTGTGAATGCGCGGTCTCCCTGGGTTGAGTGGTTGGAATCAGAGCACTTTTGGAGGGGCCAAAAACCACCCCCTACTAATAAGCGAGGGTCAACATTGGAGTGGAACTTTAAGGATTTCTTTAAAAACGCTAGGGCTCTCAAGAACTTACCCCCCTTGTTCCTACCCCTCCCCCCCTTAGGGATTCCATGAAGAGAGTGTGTTGGGAACCCATAGCCCACAGTTCTGTGTCAGCAGAAACCAGGGGGACCCTCCAACTACCCAAGGGAAGTTTTTGGGGGGACTCTTTTTTTGAGGGGAGTTTTTGTGGCTTTTAAAGGGGGAACCAAAAAACCACCCACATGTCTTTCTTGTCAGGGGGAGTCCGAATCCCCTCAGGCCCCCTCCCTGGAAGCCACAAAACGAGAGCTATTTCGAAACCTGCTTCGCCTTCTCACGTCGCAAAGGTTTCGCTTGCACCCTAATCGGCCCCTCCAAAAACAAGAGAGAGGTCCCCTCCAAAAGCAAGAGAGGTCCCCTCCAAAGAACATGAGAGGTCCCCTCCAAAAGCAAGAGAGGTCCCCTCCAACAGCAAGAGAGGCCCCCTCCAAAGAACATGAGAGGATCCCCTCCCCCTCCAAAAACAAGAGAGGTCCCCTCCAAAAGAAGCAAAAAAGAACATGAGAGGTCCCTCCCCCAACAGCAAGAGAGGCCCCCTCCAAAAAGAGAGGCCCCCTCCAAAAAACAAGAGAGGTCCCCTCCAAAAACAACAGCCATCCAAAGACAAGAGGTCCCCTCCAAAAACAAGAGGTCCCCTCCAAAGAACATGAAAGGTCCCACCCAAAGGCAAGAGAGGTCCCCTCCAAAAGCAAGAGAGGCCCCCTCCAAAAACAAGAGAGGCACCCTCCAAAAACAAAAGCCATCCAAAGACAAGAGGCCCCTCCAAAAACAAGAGGTCCCCTACAAAGAACATGAAAGGTCCCTCCAAAAGCAAGAGAGGCCCCCTCCAAAAGCAAGAGAGGCCCCTTCGCAAAACAAGAGAGGTCCCCTCCAAAAACAAGAGAGGTCCCTTCCAACCGCAAGAGAGGTCCCCTCCAAAAGCAAGAGAGCCCCCCTCCAAAAACAAGAGAGGTCCCCTCCAAAAACAAAAGCCATCCAAAGACAAGAGGTCCCCTCCAAAAACAAGAGGTCCCCTCCAAAGAACATGAAAGGTCCCTCCAAAAGCAAGAGAGGTCCCCTCCAAAAGCAAGAGAGGCCCCCTCCAAAAGCAAGAGAGGCCCCTTCGCAAAACAAGAGAGGTCCCCTCCAAAAACAAGAGAGGTCCCTTCCAACCGCAAGAGAGGTCCCCTCCAAAAGCAAGAGAGCCCCCCTCCAAAAACAAGAGAGGTCCCCTCCAAAAACAAAAGCCATCCAAAGACAAGAGGTCCCCTCCAAAAACAAGAGGTCCCCTCCAAAGAACATGAAAGGTCCCTCCAAAAGCAAGAGAGGTCCCCTCCAAAAGCAAAAGAGGGTCCCTGCAAAAACAAGAGAGGTCCCCTCCAAAGAACATGAGAGGTCCCCTCCAAAAACAAGAGAGGTCCCCTCCAAAGAACATGAGAGGAGAGGTCCCCTCCAAAAACCAGAGAGGCCCCCTCCAAAAACAATAGAGGTCTCCTCCAAAACAAGAGAGGTCCCCTCCAAAAGCAAGAGAGGTCTCCTCCAAAACAAGAGAGGTCCCCTTGAAAAGCAAGAGAGGTCCCCTCCAAAACCAGGTCCCCTGAAAAAAGTCAGGCCCCCTCACAAAAAGACACCCCCATGTCATCGTCCCCCCTAGCCGCAGAGTGCGCCAAGCCTCCCAAAAGCTTGGGGGCCGCAGGTTTTACAACTTGTTTTCCATCTACCACAAGTTATTTGGGGGGTTACCCTATGTTTGACCCACTGCAAAATTGATGAGATTAATTAATATTCATTTATTTTTCAAAATCTGTTGATTTGAAGAGGGATTTATCACTAGTGAACATAGATGTTGCCATTTTTCCAGGGGGCGACAAAACAAATAGAAGCAGGCGAGCCCTCACCCTTTAATGGATCAGCGAATGGCTGAATGTTGACTTTGGCTGAAACCAACACCTGGTTTGTTTGGGGGGTCGCCTTCTATGGCAGGGATTCAGACTCCACGTTTGGAGGGAACACCTCCCCGAAAGTTCTACCCGCCTGTCGAGGCGGAACATCGCCAGGCTCGAGCAGTGGCTCGCTAGGGCAGTGGCCGTCGCAAAAACTGCGACCGAGGAAACACGGCATAGGACCGGAAGGGCGCCGCAGTGATGTTATGGGATACATGCAAAAAGACGCGATTGAAAAAGGCGTGCGGATTGGGATGCCGAGGCGTTTTCACCAGCTCGTTGAATCTGCCTCCGTTCGTCAGTGGTATTCGAGGGCCCGTCCTTTTTGGTTGGGGGGCGGCGGCTTTCCGTTCGCGGGCTGAATGCAGCGCAGATTGCAGCGTGGTTTTGGAGGTGAGGTTTGGTATTTGGGGTGGGAGGTTGCTGTTTGGCTGCGAGGTTTGGTAATTCGGGGTTGTTTGGGGGATGTCAGAAGAGGTGGGGCGGTTGTTTTTTTGGCTGAATTCCTCATAATGGCACCACCCTCTCATTTTGTTGGATAAAAAGGCGGAGGCCAAGAAAAATCACGTAGTCCTGAATTGGTGGTTTGGATTGGTGGGAAGTGGATTTGGAGTTGAACCGCCCAGAACAAAGCACGAGGAAACCCAATTTCCATTTTTAGAGGTCCCCCAACAACGACACACACCCATATAAAGCATTTGCACGTTGCGTGGTGGACAAAGCATGGGTGAGGAGCACTTCGGCCAGTTCCTGAGGGCAAAAACCGGGGGGGGGGGGGGGGGGTTAGCTGGTTTTTGTTGCTACTGAGAACCAGTAAATGACCCAGGGTGGGGGTGGCTCAACATATGATATTTTCAGAAAAGCCGAGGTTTTAGTTTACTTTTCCATTCCGGGTCCATTCTTGGCCGATCGATCCCTATTTTTGAGGGTTCCACGAGTTGACCGTACGCGACTTTTTTTTTTTTTTGCGGCGTGGGTTCGTTTGCATTGCGGACTGCTCCAGTCTCTCAAGCCACATGCGTTTTTACAGGTAGATTCGGGGTCAAAGACATGGAAGGTGAGAAATGCTGCCCGATCGCAGCGAGGGCCAAAATGCGAGGATCGCAGGTTGCATTTGTTCCATCAGAGATTCCTTTGCATGTCCGTGGCCATGGCAAACGGTGACAGAGACATCACCGCAAGGCAGTTTTGGAGTGAGGGTGAAGCAGGGCTTGCCAACTTGACTGGGCAGGAAGCCCCCCGTAAACCATCCAGCCTATGGTTTCCTCCAAGGGGATCCCCAAAACTGGTTCATTGCCACCACCCGGTTTCAAACCGCACTATTTCCGCTGAAAAAAAGCAAGTTTCCGTTTGGCGGGTTGATTTTTCTTTTTTGGGTCAAGGCCCTTTTTCAAGTCCCGTTTTGGGCACCAGGGGCCGGGTGCTCACCATGGGCTCCAATATGAGCCACCTGCTCAAGACCCGGGGATTGATGACTTGACTGCTATTGGGCAACGGATCTTTAGACTTTAACTTTTTGGTTGAAACAAAGTTGTGTTTTCCACTAAACCCCCTAAGAATTTGTAAACTTTTTGCAGGGGGGTCAACAGCAACCAAGATGAAGGTTTGTAAGGGGCAGTCCCAGCCAGAAATAGTTGCGGATATCCGCCTTGTTAATCCTGTACATGGTTCTGGGATTACGACCATTTTAGTATCGATCGGTTTTGATTGCGACTCATATGTGGCTTTAGCTTCTCGCCCTGATTAAAGCCTGGTGGCGCTTTTTTGTTTTTTCTCCTTTGGCCTTGCCTTGCCATTTGGGCGTGGCTCACAATGAATCAGCGGGGGTTAGGTGTTAGTCTTTGTTCCCATATACCAGGGGCTCAAAATTAAATTGGAGGGGTTACGCGGCTTTTGGTCCATGTGCCCACTTCCCAGGGTTCCATGTTGGTACCGGTTTTGAGCCACAGCCATACATCAGGGGCCATTTTGGGTACCATGTTTTGAGCCACAGCCACTTTTTGGTCACAACACGTGCCAAGGTCAAAAGACCCCCGGCCCCCTGCGATCAAGCCGAGTATCTTAGTTCAACAAATGCCAGAGCACTTCATGTCCTTCCCCACCAAAGCCAGGAACGGGCCCGACAAAGTTCGATGTCCTCTTCGGGCAAGGCTTAGATCTTGACCATGGCTCTGGGGTTCCACTCATCCCCTGGGTTGAAAAGAAACTGGCTCCAGAGAGCCAATTTGGCTTTCCCAACCTTTACTTGGGCGAGGTTCAAGCTTGTGGATTTCATGGGGTGTGTACCCCAAAAGTAGTTTTGAGCCGGATGAATCAACCTGGTAGTGAACACCTTCCACTCTAAAATTGGGCACCCCCAAACAATATTGGCAGGGGTTCATTCATCAATTCCGGGCTCCCACTGGCGTACTGTGGATGGACGCAATCCTGCACCACCTACAGAAACCCTGGAATGCTGATTCCCCTGCAACTACCAACCAGCCACGGTTTACCATAGTTTCCGAGTGGTGCAGGATTTTGTCCAGAGTCGGAATATGCAAAGGCCACATGGAGGACAGGGTGTACCGCAGGGCTCTTCGTCCCGCTTGAAAGATCAACAGCTTTCGTCCAGATCCCCAAACTGCAAACGGGGGGAAAGATGAAGTCTGTGTCAACAATTCCCCAGACCTCCGGTGGTGTCTTCTTTTTCACGGATCCCAGAAATGAATACAGTGGATGGACGAAATCTATTTCGCACCACCCAAGAAACACCGGAAGGATGATTCCCCTGTAAACCAACAAACAATGGTTTCCCATGGCTTCAAAGTGGTGCAGGATTCCGTCCATCAACAGTATGAACAACATAGACTCGTAGTTTACAGCTCACTTCTCTCCCCACACCTGTTTGTTCTCTCTGTAACTTCTGTTCCTGATGTCTCGCTCAACATATCCAATTCCTTCAACTCATGCTGCAGAACGTTTTGCTGGTTTGGACGTGAAGGAATAGACGCTTAACCTCACGGTTGTGGCATGTGCTTAGGTTCTTAGTTCTTGTTTTGTCTGATGGTTGGTTTTGGTAGGGGGCTGCAAACAGACAAGTTGTTTACTACCACGCCACAAGGGTCGGAAAGTTAAAGCTCACAAACATTTCTAGGCGGCCGAGAGGTTCCCGTGGGGGGTGCTCCCGCCCAGGCCTCATTGGGGTATGGGTCAAAATTAAGCCACCAGGAATTGGACCGCAGGTTTGAGTCCTTGTTTCCATTTACCAGAGCAAGCCATTTTGGGCACATATTGTTGACCCGCAGCCGGTGGTTTTTGCTTTTTGCAAGCCGAAGCGAAACAGCCAATCCGCGCACGAAGCCGCCAGGGAGCGGGGCATGGTGCAGAATTCGTCCAACGTCTTTGGTGAGGGCATGGACAAGTCAGTCTACTCGGCGGCTGTCCAGAAGGTCTGGTTGGCCGGCGTGCGATCCGAAGGCTCTATTCAATTTGGGACAAGTAGAAATGGAGCAGAAATCTGTGTTTCCCTTTAAACCGCCATTTCGGAGGTCATATTGACCCAGTTGAAGCCGTTGCCCGGGTTGCCGGTGGCCAAGGAAGGTGTCCGGAACCCCAAAGACCCTCAACCCATGCTTGGTGGTTACACAACCCCTCGTGTATGTCTGATGTCCATTTCCTCACTTCCTGAGTTCATGGACTTTAAGCTAGTTGGGGCTGGACCATTTTAGTGCAAAGGAAAAAGTTTGGTTGCTTTTCTTGGGCCATCCACTCAGGACGTGAGTTTCCATTGAAGAATCCTTTGCAGTTGTTCTAAAGGTATGCAAACTGTTGATGATCGATTCAAGTCTTCTACGTGAAGCATTCATGTGGACCCTTCACAACGGATTCCTGGCCCAGTTGTTCACTGCTGGGACCAACTCGTTAGAAATAGTACGCATGTCACATTTGCACTATACACATATATAGATATATATGAATATACATATATGCACACGTGTTATACCAACATGCACACAGCATTGCCACGTATCACGAGATATGGCTCTGATTCTCAAAGTGTTTTGCTTTGTTTTTTCTGAGCGGGGGGGTTAATATCTGATCTCTTTGGGGCGCTCAACGGCACTGGAGCATATTTGCCGTTTGGGTCGCTCTGACTCTGCGGACGGCTCACGCGAACCGCACATCTCCCTGTGATTCCCCCAAGGTAGACCAAACCGCACATCTCCCTGAAAATCAGGCTCCATATGGCTCCACTATCTGATTATCAAGGTAGACTCAAACCTTGACGGTTCGCTTCCTGAGGAGAACCTTTGGGTTCAAATCTACCTTCCAGAGTGCCACCGTTGAGCCCGGCAAAGACAGGCGAGAAGCGATATATGTATAGTAGGTTGGTCTGGTCGATGCCCTTGATCTGCACCTCCAGAAGACGCGCAGCTGCGGGCAGCTGCAAGCATCGGCCACCTAAGTGACCGCATCAGACCTAAGCAGTTCGATATATGTCCCCCTGTGGTTTTGAAACGTCATCTCTATTCTCGGTATTAAAGCCCCACCCCATTCTATTTGAGTTGAGCCTGACATATCATTGCATATGTCACTTTGTACTTAAGGTGCCCCACAACCCTGTGTAAATCTTAGGCAACTGGAGCCGCGCATGCTTCTTCTCGGCATTTACCTGTAGAGGGTAAATGGGAAACCACCCTTAACCTCCCCAAAAGTCACAGGGCTCACCGCGCCGAACGTGGGATCGAAGCCAGGAGATTGTGAAGAACCTCCGCGAGACCTTCGCCTACGTGAAGAATGCCCCGGTCCCAGAGGCAGTGAATTTGCCCAGGCGCGATGTATCGATCGACTCGCAGTCGCAGTCAAGGAGTCGAGTCAAACAATGTTGACCCCATATTACTTGGCGGCTCCCAGCCGGCTCCTTAGCTCTTTAGCTTTTTGGCCTCTTGTGATTAATCGGGAGATGTCCTTGGGTGAAATGTGGGGAATCAGACCACTGTTAGGGGGACACCCCCAAAAAATCGACTGGGGTTGTTTAATATGGGGGTAACAGAGGGCACGGGGGGCGCAAGCAAAACCTGGGGAAGGTTCGGGGGCAGTTCAACCATAGGTTTTGATTGCGACGTAGGTTTGCACTAGTTCAGGCAACCCTTGGTTGGTGGTTTGGATTGCTGGGAACTGGGGATTAGATGGGAAGCCACACACAGAACACATCCAACCACCAATCTGAACCAGAAAAAAACCGGAAGCTGGTGGTTTGGGGATGTGAATCCTTTTTTGGTTGTTTTGCCCAAAAAATAGAAGGCGATTCCTGGTTTACCTGGTGGACCTGGTGGTTCAATCATCTACCAGGGATATCCATCTATTTTCCAAAAGGACACCTATGCCAAGATTGGGTACCCCATTTGGGGGTTTGCGGGGTTGAGTGTCAGTTCCTTGCAACACCAAACCACCAGACCACAACTTGGGCGTAGTGTGATGAGAGGGACAGGGGAGGTCAGCAACAAAAACACTGGTTGCATGACAGCGAATAATCCGGGTCAAGATTTGGGGGAGTTTACGGGGAAATCCGGGCAAGCGCTCGGCTCTACACACCAACCCGGCCTTTTGCAGAGAATCGCAGCTTCCAATCCAAAAAGGGTGGTTTGGAGCCGAGTCGGTGGTTTCCAGGGTGGTTTCCCATTTACCCTCTACAAGAAGGGGTTCAAGTCCAAATCCAAACCAATCCAAACCACCTTTGGGGGAACCTGACCTGAATATTTGGCTTGGGATTTGAACCGAAGCCTCCGTGCCGGGAGCCACCACTTTGATCTCAAGAGGTTCTGATGGCTTGATTCGCCGGTTTTTTGCCTCGGAGGGAGGGGGACAGGTTCCATGGCTGATAAAGAGTTCGGCATGGACACCGAGCCATGGAACGCCTTGGGTCGTTCCAGTCAGATCCTAGCATCCACTGTCACATTGACAAAAACACAGACGGTATTTCCTTGGGTCTGTGTTGAACCACCAAAACCGAAGGGGGCAAAAGTTCTGTGTTTCGAGCACTTTGCTCTAGTACCCATGAGAAAATGCTCCACCTCAGTTTTGAGGTCGAACGATCCTGCCGGGGTGTTTTAGCGGTTTACAAATTTGACCGCTTGGCTTGGAGGGCTTCCACTGCTCCCTGGACTGATTCGGTTCCCCTGTAAATACCAACCAACGTTCTGGTTTCAACTCCATGGGTTTCCTTTCGTGGTGCGTTTTGTGGATTTCGCAACCATCAGCAATAATGGATGAAATAAAGAGCCACAGACCACAAAACCATGGTTCATTATCTAGCTAGGAGGGAGCCGAATCTGCTGTTGAAGAGGAGTTCTGCAAGGGTAAGTTAGGGGGTTCCCTTGTGCTCGTACCTGCAACATAGCAGCGGCATCCACCGTATGTTGCGAAATACGGGGGGTCCTAAAAGGTGGCAAGGGCTTCCTCTTGTACAGCCCTTGAACTCTAGCCAGGGGTAGGAGCCAGACCCGGAGCTGGTTGGGAAATGTTGACCCATATATGTTGATTAATAGGGGGTATTGCCCTCCAAAAGTGATGATTCCCCACTAAAGCCAGGGACAGCCTATTAATAAAGCCGGGGTTGACATGGGGTCCACATTATCCAAATTTGCCTTAAAGGAGGGAGCGGTTCTTTCGGAGCTACCGATCCGAGTTCTGGGACATGGCCAAATCCAGGAAGGGACCTGATTCCTCGAGCAAGCAGGTCTCCCATTTGGTTAAGAATATGTTCTATTTTCCCCTGTTGGTTTTAAAGGGAGCCGATTTCACTACTGAACATATCTCGATTTTTTCCAGGGGACGGAGGTAAATGGAGGAGGTGGATGTGGATGTCGGGCAGTCCCAAGCTAAAAGGGAACCCCGAACAGTGGCTTTCTCGGCCAAGCCGGGGACGCATTTCCTCCCAAGTCAAAAAAAACGGGGCCCCCAACAGGCGAGCGATCTCACCTTCTCACCTGGTATGTCTGGGCTCAGGCTTTTTGAGGCACCCTAAACCCTCTTTGGGTCGGTTAGTTGGACCCCCAGAAACCTGTCGGCCTGGTTGCCGTTGACCCTCTTCACGTCTTGGGCGCCGAGCCGAGCCGAAACCGCCGAGTCTCAGGTCTCGGAAAGCGTCGGAGTCGCGTCGGCCGCTAGGCCCGGGGAGTTGAAGCAGAGCTTGTTGGCCGGGAACCAGGCGGTGCTCACCAGGCCCCTTCCGCTCTCCGCGGTTTCTCGGCGGGGAAAAGAGCGGAACGAGGGCTGAAGGGGCCGTAACCAGTTCGATCCCATGTAACGTAATTATATATATATATATATAACTGGTCCCCCCCTTTGGTGAGCTTGCGCTGTGTTGTTCCAGTGTGTCAGCCCATTTGTTTGCCTCGTTTATGTTTTGCACATATTTTTGTATATATATATATATAGAGAGAGAGAGATGATGTTTTTTTGCAGGGGACTTAAGAAAATTGAGGAAGATTGCCGCTTGTCTGGGCAACACTTGGCACCTCTCGGTTTTGAAGGGAATCTAGCACTGCTGGACATTTTTTTTTCAGGGGGCTTAAGCAATTGGAAGACCCCTTTTTCGTTTGGCGGCTTCTTCGATTTCGCGCGAAATCAGCACTATCACAAGTTGTGATGTGAGTCTCAATTTCAACGGGGAATACCTTCCCAAATGGCGGGTGCACAGGACATTCCTAAAATGACGCACGTGTCCCTTGGGTTTCCAAACCAAACCAAACAATCAAAAGCCCAACCGTGTCGCGTGTCGGCGTGTCCGTGCCAGTTCTCCTGGCACAAGAGGCACGCCCAAGTCGGACCCGAGCTTCATGCCGAAGGACTCGTTTCTCTCCGATCGATCGATCGATCCGCTTCTGGGACGGGTCTTTCAGGGCTGGGCTTGTCTCAAAACGGGTGGGAACCAACCAAATGGCAATCAGTTTTTTTGTTTACAGCTATTTGGAAGCGGATCTTTGGACTTAAACTGTTTGGTTGAAACAGAGGATTTCCGTTGGACCCCCAAAAAGTTAACCTCTATCCAGTGGGGTCAATAGCAACCAAGTTTCTTGGCGTCCAACCAACCTGAAGGAGAATCCTGTTCAGCTCCAGCTTCTTTGCAGCAAAAAAAAGAATTCCTTCATGGATTCGCCCCATGCCTACACAAAACAAAAATGCTGGAGGCGCCCATAGAGCAACCCCACCTTGACAAGAAGGTTACCAGAGCAACACACATTTATCAACACCCTTGTCACGCACACACACACACACACTCGAGGCAAACGAGAAGCCCTCATTCAACGGAATTCACGACGACTGAAGACCTGCGCATGACTTATGAGCATATTTGCTAAACACGATGCCGCAGAGGGTCGGTGCATTCTGGACAAATCTACTTTGCAGCAGTTGGATTTCAGTGGCTTGTGCCGGTTTTCACATTCATCCTAATACTATCTGGTGCGAAAAGGGTTCTGTCCATCCGCAGTATCACAGAAAGTGGCCCGGCCTAAATTCCCCCCCTCCCACCTCCTCCACTCCCCCCACCCCTCCACCCCTTCACCCCCTCCCAACCACACCCCCCCACCCGCTACTCGCCGGCCCGCTCGAGGAGTTCTGGCACACCTCCGTGGACCTCCAGTGGCATGACGCCCGGGAGCCCCAAATCCTTTCCCCTGGTGGTTGGTTGGTTTGTTTCCTTGGTTGGTTTGTTTCCTTGGTTGGTTTGTTTCCTTGGTTGGTTGGTTGGTTGGTTGGTTGGTTGGTTGGTTGGTTGGTTGGTTGGGTCGGTTCTTTGTTTGTAGTTTGGTTGTTGTTTTGGGAATTGGTTTCTGTGGAGGTTCACTCACGAATGTGCAGGGTTTCCGAGCTGCTTGACTTTAAAGGGAACCTCCAAAGTGACAGGCGTTTCAAGGGAGACCGCCAGTAAGCTGGTCAACTTTTTGAGGGGGGAATCTCAGTGACCCTGTAATATATGGAGAGCCATTGCAATGTTTGATTCTAAAATGAGGAAACAGAAGAAGTTCTTGCCACATACATGGAGAAGAAGAGCAAGCTTTTAGGGGACGAACAAATGAGGGAGGCTTATCATGATGTCATGCACCAGCCAAAGAAAGGGGAGGAGGGACAAGTCCGAATTCCTTCAAAAGCGAAACCAATGGACAAACTCCCTTTTTGTCCAGACACCCCACTTGGGATGCGGTAGCCCTTTTCTGTTGAGGACTTGAGAGCCTGGAGCTAAGGCGTATTTGGCCCATGTTTACCTCCACGTTTGTTGTTGCAATTTGCATTATTTGCCAGTACTTGGCCGTGTAAAACTCGTGGTTTGTCGATGGAATCTTACAAGCCAACGAGGAAAACTGTATTTGGCCGCCTGACATGTTTTTGGCAGGCAAAGCCTTTTGACAGAAAACAGCCTTTTGGGGCTCCGGGATGGGAAGGCTGCCTTCTGTGTGTGTGATTATATATATATATATATTATTATGTATATGTATAATATATATATATATATATATGTTTAATGTATATTATGTATATGTATATATATATATGCTACGCTCCCCCCCTGGTGCCTAGGTGTTGCTTGATTTCAGCGCGCAGGCTGTAGAGTTTAGATTGTTTGCAATATATTTTAAGCACAGACGAAAGGGCTTGCAGTCCATCATGGCAAGAAGCAGATGATTATTTGAGATAACCTGTGTGAAGCATGTGCGCAAGATGACAGGTGTGCTGAAGACAGGTTCGTTGTTGACAGTAGTTGCTTTTGTTTGGACAGTAGATGAAGGACATGCGACAGTGCTTGAGAGTAGAATTTGCACCCCAGAATCATCGCAGCCGCGCATGGGTTCCGCATAATGTTCATTTTCCCCACAAGCCCCCATTGCGATCTGATCAAGCTGGTAGCACGAAATCCTGCATGGTCCACTTGCACATGGCACCTGTGGCCATCCAAAGATCTTTGTTCCTGTGCCTTGTGTGACTTTCAGACCAGTTTCTGCTCTGGGTATGATTCATACTTTTTACATGCCTTTGGAGGGAATTCCAGATCAATGGATTATTCCAAATGAACAGCTCCTTATGGTTGTTACCACTCAGTCCGAAAGGGAAGGGTGCTGTTGGGGGAAGTCCAGATTCATGGATTCATGTGTGCTCTAATTATCCAGTCGTTTCATGATTTTAACTACTTCAAAGGGCCAGGTGCCTGTGGGGGAACACCAGAGCCATGTTTGAGTCAATTGTTTTAGCTGCTCTAATTAGTATAATTATTCCCAAAGGGACGGGGTTCCTTTTGAGGAATTCAGTACTCATTGTTTGCCATTCTCTGCGCACCATAATTTTCCTAGTTACTCAACTTATGCCGATAGGGACTTCAAGATTCATTGATTCCTAAATGTTACATGTCTTTGTTTAATTAAACTAACTAGAACAAGTTGCCTTTTGGGGAGTTCCGGATTCTTGCGGTTGCTCTAATTATCTTAACTGTTTCAGCTATGCTAACTTTTCACAAAGGCATGGGTGCCTTTTGGGGAGTTCTGGATTCATGTGTGTTCCATTTGTTCTAAGTATTGTAACTAAGCTATTCGAGTTCGTCACCCGGGGACAGAGTGCCTTGTGGGGAATTCAAGATTGAGTGTTTGCTGATAATTGTTCTACAGCTATTCTACTTATTCAAAGAAGGACGGGTGCCTTTTGGGAGTTCCAGATTCATGTTTGTTCTTATTTTTCTACTTATAGTTGTTCTAATCATCGACGGGTGCCTTTTATCAGAATTCAACATTATGCGTGCCAATCTGTATTCATCATACCTGTTGCAATTTTGTCGACTCCGTTAATTGCCGCCTTTATTTTCCTAATTTGTAGGAACTATATGAATTAGCTCTTTTTTTGGGAGTTCCAGGTTCATTCATTTGCCTATTCTTTCATTGCAAGCGATCTTCCATCATGGGAGCTCGCGTCACAATTGCCTACTTTGTAACTCCTTCAGAACGTAAAAGCCAGCGGTTCAGAGCAAACCAATCTATCCAAGTCTGCAGGATGCGATTTTCTACAAGCATGGCATGACAACAAATCCTTGCTTTAGTTCACATCACGTCCAAACAGATGGCAAATGGTAGCTTGAGGCGGCTGGATCACAACATTGTTTTGATGTTCCCATTTTTTTGAACCTGGGATTCAAGATTCAAGATTTCCAGAAAGTACTATATTGTAATTTTGAATCTTGAATCTTGAATCTCATATATATATATATATGGGATTCAAGATTCAAGATTAAATAACCATGTTCTTTCTCTGGAAATCTTGAATCTTGAATCTTGAATCTCATATTGTTAAAAACAAAATGGGATGGCAATATTAAATATTCCATAATTCAACAAAACCTTGTTTTGACATATTTAATCTTGAATTCCAGATTGTCACATTGAACGTCTCCCAGCAATCTTGGGTCCAGAATTCTTAATTGTAGAATTGTGGCACACCCCCCCCTCCTGGTGCCCAAGTTACCTGAACAAATGGCTGAATTCAAGCAAAACCTAGGCATGGGGGGGGGTACCATATATATATATATATATATGTATCCCAGTGGTTCTATTAGTAGTCTATTTCCTTTTATAGAAGGGTAAGGGAGCCACCCTTCAAAAACCGAAAGGACAATGGATTCAAGGGTCAACTCTCCCCTTTTCAGCCCTGGTCCTATGTTTCAGGGAGTTCCCCAAAGAAAAACATGATGACTCCCCACAGAAAGGGGACACCTCCCCCCCAAAAAAAAGCCTGGTTGATGGTGGCTTAGTGGTTGAAATCCCACCACTTAACTGCTAAACAAATATTTTTGTTGCTCCCCAAGCCCAACGTCAACCAAGAACATTTTTGCTTATTGTGGTTTAGTGGGAAATCCCCACTTAACTGCTGAAATTATTTTTGCTCCCGGTTTCCTCCGTGACGCGTTTTTCGGGCTCCACTTCTTCGCAGCGAAGTTCGCCGGGCCCGAGGTGCGGAACGAGCGGTGCCGGCACAAGTCCCACGGCATGGAGCGCCAGAACTTGGACGCCAAGGACCCAAAGGGCCGGGTCACCCTCCCCCCATGATCTACCTTTTGCTTCTTGAATTCTTCTTAACTGCTTCATGTGCATTGCAAATGTGCATTCTCGACATTAGACTGCCTGGTGTCGTGGTTTTATACATATATATATATATATAGCGGCATTCATTTAATGCTGTGGGATGGAGTCCTGGCCCAAAACTGCGCAGATGGATTCGAGGATGACTGACAGGCGGCTGCAGGTTGGGGCACGGATCTCACCAAAACCCGGGAGAACGAGCTCGCCGGCGAAGCTCACTGTTTGGGGATTCCTTCCTTGCGGCTCTCGTCATTTGCCCAGCAGATTGGCCAGACTGCAAGTTGTTGGAGGTTTCTTAAAAAATAAACGTACGGACGCCAACTCAATATCGCAAACGTGGGAACAAGAAGCCTAGGACCACGGAACTTAAGATTTAGATGGAGCCACCTGGAAGGCATTGGAAGGTGTATGAAAGCTATGGGGTGGAAGAATGAAAGCTAGTGGTAAGGCCCAAGTCTTAGCTCTGGGCTTCGGAGCGGTTCATAGGTTCTCTTGATTTGCTTGATCGATCCGGTGGACTTTTCCACGTGGGTTTTCCAACCAGCCGCGCTCGGGGATCCCATCGGATGGGGAAGTCGGGGCGAGGGCCAGAAGATGCGGGAGATGTCCTCGGAGCTCTTCGAGAAGGCTGCCAGACCGCGGAAAGAGACCTGGGGGTGGTGTCTGTTTGGGCTTCTCCTGTAGAATGACCCGGAAAAGGGGGGTACTCCAAAAGAAGACCCCAGATTTACATTGTACAGAAAAGAAGGCTCTGAGGTAGGGAATGAGTTGGACTGAACCCAGTTGCGTCGGTCCCCAAGGAAACTACCAGTTGGATGGTTGATCCTGCGGTCATTCCATGTCTCATTCCCTGCCCGTCGCACCAGCAAGTTAATTGTTGGACCTCTGATGAAGTCACGTCCTGAGTTCCGTTTCGGGCTTTCGTCACTTTTCGGGTTTGGTTGCCGTTTTCTGGTGGCACTCAATAAAAAGCAACTTTGCTTTTCGGGCCACCCACTCAGGAAGTGAGTTGATACACCACCCCTATAAGAAAAGGATCCCCTGGAAGAAAGGAATCCCTGCTAAAAAGGGGACCCCCGAATCACAGGTCAACATTGCAGGTGTGGCGTTTTAATGGAGGACCCTTTGGTGGACATCATGGACATCATAAAACGGTGGGGCATTTTATGTCCACCAACCACTGTTGAGGGGATCCCAATTAAAAAACCAAAAAAAAAAAACATGATCCTATCCGTTCCACAGTTGGTTCAAAGGGAAACCAAAACCACCCTTTGGGTGCAGGGTTTCGTCCACCCACAGTATGGCGAATTCTCCAAATGGGGTCCACCTAAAATGGGCGGTATCCTTTGAGAACCAAGCAAAAGGAGTCCGAGGATACCAACATCCTGACCGTTCAGAAACTCTGGAATCATGATTCCCCTCTGAACACCAACCAGCAATGGTTTCAACCATGGATTCAAGGTGGTGCGAGTTTTCGTCCACCCACGGTACTCGTTTGTTGCTTCTCAGGCTAGGCAGAGTCAGAGAAGCGGATTTTTTCGAGCTGTTGGCCGCTCGGATGGCCTTCAGGATCTCCTTCGGATTTTGGTCACCCAACTCTTTTGTCACCCACATCTTGCTCACTCCCCAAGTCCCTGGACTGTCCATGTTTGGACCATTTCAGTGGCATTGGTTACTGCTCTTATCGGAAGTGAACTGAAGGTTCACGAATGGACAGTTTACATCTTCAGATGTCAAGGGAATCCCTTCGGCATCAGACATGGAGCCTGCCTGTGGCTCGGATCATGTCCTCTCCAAAAGCTGGCCTCGGTTGGGAAGGTTTTCCCAGGTATCAGGTTCAGAGCCATTCAAGGTGTTTGTAGTGCCGGGGCTCCGGATTTCCCTTTCCGGATCCAAAAGTGGCGATCCTTTCAGTGGAAAGTCGATGGATTTTTGATTTGGGGGAATCCAGTGACCCTGTAGTAACTGATTAGAGGCTAAGCTTCTTGTGAGGCCAGTGCAGAGCTTGTGTGGCCAGTGCAGAGCTGTTGTGAGGTTGAGGGTAGGTGTGGCTGTTGCTGAACGCCCGCCCGCCCCCTGTCACAAGCCCAAGTGCTTGTCTGGGTGTGGGGGGCAGAGTGCAGTGGGTTGGACCTGCTAGCTGTTCGGATATGGCTCAGGCTCTCCTTCTACCCTATCACCGGGTAGAACAACAAAAAAGAGCAGCCACTTTTGCCCTTCGACCCACTTTCGTCTAACATATTCTTTTGACCAGCTAAAGATCAAACCACCAGGACACCCAGGTGTGAATTCAAAAAAACACCGTGATTTCAAAATGCGTGATTCGCAAAAAAAAACTCCGGGTGCTCTTTCACTTGCAAGAGGAGGTCCGAGATGTGAGGCAAAAAGAGGGCAACCACATGGTGTAAGTCTGGTTGAGGTTCCCATCCGTTTCGTTCAATTTGTTAGCGCCAAGCGTATTGACAACTTTTTGGTTTTGCTTGCATAGGTCCTGTTCTGCTGAGGGGAGTGCAGAAAGTAGCTTTTGTTGGAAGTTGCCACCTGCATTTCCCAGTTGGGGGTAGGTGGAAGGTGATTTGTTACCAGTACGAATTGCTTTTACTAGTAAACGCGGCCGGAATAAAGACAAACGGATGGCCCAAAAAGATTAGTAAATGCACCCGGAATAAAGACAAGCGCTCGCCACCCCTATTTTCTGAAAACGACGAACAATAAAAGGCGAAAAACAGAATGAGAGAAAGAAGAGGACAGGCAGCCAAGCCGACACCTGGCCCTTGGATCTTTATAACATTGTTCTTTGTCAGCCCAAAGTTCAACATTTCCAGCTTTCCCAAACCCATGGTTTCTTACGTGTCTCTTGTCTAAAAGCAGTCCGCAATCAAACCCGAAAAGGGGGTAGTACTGCAGCTCCCAATTTGGCATTATTCCAGGGGCCCCTGGAAAAAAGTCTTGTTGCCTGACCCCCCCGCAAAAAATACAACTTGCCCAGTGTAACTGATGCTGGCGAGGCTTCAGGCCTTGTTGTTAGATTTGGGCCTGCTCCTCGAATTGAAAATAGTCAGCTTTCCCAAACCCATGTTTCTTACATATCTCTTGTTTAAAAGCAGTCCGCAATCAAACCCGCAAAAGGGGTAGTACTCCAGGCCCCTAATTCGATTGCCTGGCCCCCGGAAAAAAATCAACAGGACGCTCCAGCAATACTAAATCAAATGGAAACGCAAAATAACCTCCATCAATTGTTCAAACAAATTGAAAACCCCCAGCTATACTAAAACAAATTGAAGTTCAATTCCATATTCAAAAGGAACCTCCAGCAATAATAAATGAGAATTGAAGCTCAGTTCCAAATCTCAGAAGGAAGCTCCAGCAATACCAAACCAAATGGAATCTCAGTTTCAAATCTCCAAAAGGCGCTCCAGCAATACCAAATCAAATGGAAACTCAAGTCTACCAATACCAACTCAAATGGAAGCTTACTTGAACTGGATCTCGAGATAGTATTCCAGGTGCTCCCGTCGTTGGGGGGGGTGGACCCCTGTTTACTAATCCCAGGTGGACATTACTTGAGCCACAAACAAAACCTGGGTAGATGAAGGTTAATTCTTTGCATTGGTTTGGGCGTCCGATGTTCACTACCAGGTTTTGATTATGACTCACTTGATCTCTGGCGCAACGATGGCTACTTGCGCTGTTTTTGTTGCCGTGGTTCTGTATAGATCCAGCTTTGTTTTTTTCCTCCCATTTTCCCGATTGGGAAGACCACAGGCCCACCCCCCGAAGTCCTGGACAGACGACTTTTTGGGTTCGTTTGGTGGTAAGCAAAAAGTTTGGATACCCTTCCATCCGCTAGGGGTGGAACGCTATTATCCTTTTGACGCGACCTTTGGTGGGTTTCATGTTGGTGGAGAGGACGGTACATTTCTTGGCCAACCCACTCAGGAAGTGCCTAAAGGTTACTATTTGGTTCTCTCGCACCTGGTGCTTAGGTAGTTGATTGACCTCTTTCATGCCAGGTTGGACCCCTGCCGTGTTCATTTTGGTTTAAAGGAATCTGAATCCCTTGGCTTTTTTGATTTCTATCAGGTGCCATGAAGCAAGGGGACACCCAGTAGCCGTAGAGCATCCCAATCTGGCTTTAAGAGCCAAGCGTGATTGCCAAACCCATGTGGCAGGGCCGGATGACGACTGCTTCTGTTGATCGCTCCGACATGCTGGCCGGCGGGGTGGAGCTTGCCTGGTTTTTGGCTGAGGTTGTCACAGAGTCTGGCTCTACGCGGCGGTGGCTGGGATCGGGTTAGGGGATGCGCCAGAATGGCGCCACCGGGTTGTTGTTCTTTTTTTTCTGGGGGTCCCCTTTGTTTCCCACAAACCAGGCAGCAAGTATAGTTTTTTTGCTGGGGTCCTAATTCCGGTCAAGTTTTGGTGGGGCATTCCTGATGTTCGGTTTTGCGAATGACAGTTCTCAACAATTTGCCCAGGTCGAATCCACTTTCTGTTTTTTGGGGGCAGTCGCGGGCCTCACCAGCCCCTGGTTGTGTGTGTGTGTGTTTTCTGTGTGGGCAAATTGCAATAGGAAATGGGCATCCACCGCCCCACACCTTTCTACCTCTGTGTTTTTTAGGGTATGATGTCAATGAATGCGGTATTGAACATTGTGAAATTCAGGTTCTTCCAAGTATACCCCAGGAACAGGTGTTTGGAGTGGGGGGTAGGATCCGCCTCCCCAAACCCTCCAGGATTAGTTCAGGCCGGTGAACGTGGTGCGACGTGAAATGCAAGGAAATTCACCCGGGCCCTCCTTTCTCATGGAATCTCTGGAGTTGACCATCTCTACATAACCCCATATAGGTCTGTCTTTTTTTGAAGAGGAAAATGAAAGGAACACCACCAGTAATATGATTTTGGGGGTCCACTAATGTTGCAACTAAAGACAGACACGTTGGCCACTTCCTTGTTTTCCTTTGTAAAACGCAAGAACAAGGGCAATACACTTTTTCATGCGTCCATGTGCCAGTGCCAGTTCCTTTGCGGAAGAGCGAAACTCATTCACCCGCGCCAGACGTGTCAGACGGACTTCCTGTCTATGGACTCCTCTTTGCACGAGCGCCACATGCGGCCACTCGGCTCTGCTTCCTGGGGAGGGGTGGCGCTTGTGGTTTCCGGCTCCATTTGGGTGTGTCATTTTTGGGGGGATCGCCCGTTTCGTTGGCTTTTGGGAAACCGTGTTATTTTGGTGTTGTTTTCCCGATTTTAAGACATGCTTCCATCTGCTTAAACATGTAAAATACAACGGTGGGTTTTAAAGGGTATTTATCCCTACAGTGCGCGCGCTTTATAAGAAATCAGTTGGTCGAGGCCCAGGGCGGCTGAATTTCTTAGCGTCCGGATTTCTTAGCCATTTTTGTTAATCTTGTCTTTTTTGTCGCGGAATGAATTCCTGATTTTTTTTGGCAAAGGAGCCCTTCATCGCCCGAAAAGGCTGCTAAGACGTCCAGCCCCTGGATTTCTTAGCATGGAGCCCTTCAAGGCTGCTAAAAGGGGCCCTTGATCGTCCGAACCAGGAATGATTGGTTCAATTCTTGGAGCGCGGAGGTGGTTTTCTTCTCGCGCAAGCAACAAGTTGGCTAATAAATTGGGCGAAATATCCAGCTCAATTTCTTAGCAGCAAATGCAGTTGCAACCTGAGTTCGGATCTCAGACCCTCAATTTCTGAAACAATGATGTCTTCTACAGTACTTGCACTGAAACTGGATTCGTGTTCTCTTTTTGTTTTTTGGGGGGGAAAGGAAATGGGAGGTAATTTGTTGTTTGGATTGGTTGCACCCCGGGTCCTTGAGGGTAAATGAAAAACTCACCGAAGCACCGATGGTGTTCTGGTGTGGATCCATTTGGGCACCCAGCTCTCGGATCGCCTGAGGTGCACCAATCCAAACCACTTGGAGGGCATTTGCCCTCGTGTGGATCCGTGGCCTCCTGAAACATACTTGTTTACTTTCCCCTCTTGGTCTTAAAAGGAATGACCCGGTGGAAAGAGCAACTGGAGGATCCCAATCCCAGCCACTTGGAGGGAATCCCTTCGGGCCAAACCTCTCGCTCCAATTTCACCCAGCTCGCTCTCGGCTCCGTCGCCTCGCTGCCCAGCTCCGAGGTCGGCGCCGGGCGGGCACTCGGCCAGTCGGAAGGTCCAGGTGAACCTGGCCTCGTCAGAGCACAACACCATGCCGCAGCCGGAGCTGGCTGTGCAGGCGAGCTGCCGCGAAGTCTGCCGCGAATCCGAATCGGACGGCGCGGGACGGGGGCTCTGACCAAAACGGCCCTTTGTGGAAGGTACAAGGATAGGTTTTTGGTTTTTAGGGGGGGAGGTTCCAGGGAGATCTAAGGTGTGGAACAACTCAAGTTGGCTTGCTTCATCAAATGTTCAGGCACACCTTTGCTGAAAGAAAAATGGGATCTATGTTGCAGGGGTTTAGCGAGAGGGAAGGTGTGAACAAACTCAAGTTGGTTTGCTCCCGTTTTTTCAGGCACACCTTTGCTGAAAGAAGATTGGGAGATCTATGTTGCAACAGGGTTTATGATTGCCAACATGTTCTGGAGGCCTTGGCGACCGAATCATTCGTGTGATAGACTCTGGGTGCCTGCCTCGCCCTTCGGAGCCTTTGCCAAAGCTCCCCTTCTAAATCAAGCTCGCTTGCCCAAAGCAAATCGACCCGACCTTTTGGTTTTCCTCTTTTGGACCTTCTTCGGTCAAGGTCCCAAATTGTTCACGTTTTACTGCCAGGTCAAGTCTCCAGTTTTTTTTTTTTGTGCAAGTAGCGTTTTTCCTTGGGATAAGTCTAGAATTGCGGTCTCACCAGCTGTCCTGTGGAGGGCAAATGGAAACCCTGGAAGAGCTCCAAATCACCCTTTTAGAGAGAAGCTGAAAAGGGTGTGGCATGTTGAACCTTCTTTTTTTTGCGCTGTCAACTTTTCCTGGAGCAGCCAAGACAGCCGGGACCACGTTTTTGTGGCTGGACGAAAAAAACCGCACAGCTCTGCCCATTGGAGGCGGTGACAGCAGTGCATAAACCGCGCTGAGATGGGTGTGGGTCAAAAATGGGTATCCCAAATGGCTTGCCCTAGTAAATCGAAACAGGGACTAAAACCTGCGGTCTGATTCCTGGCGAATTACCCAGATGATGAGCGGGCCGGGGTGAACATGAAGGTATTGCTTAGGAGCCCTAGGCAATGGGGCGGGGGGGCTGTCACTTCCAGGCGCGCGCGTGATGTCCTGTGGGACCGCAGAAGAAGGGCCCTCCCCTTATTTGGGTATCTCCCCAAAATGGTAGAGTCGTAGATATGGGGTGTATTTTGAGTGGGTCCCCGGCTTGGGCAGGTTCAAAGGGAAGCGAAAAGCAAACGATGCATCTTGGGGGTCCCTCATTTTGGGACAAAGTCACATAAAGCCAGATGAACCAATGTTAATTATACCAATTGGCATTGGTAGGTCCCTACAGCAATGTAATATGTTCCGCCATGGAGAGGCCAATGCTGATTCGGAGCCGACCCGCAAAGGGACATGGGAAAATGTCAAGACCCCAGATGGTTCTCCCCTTCTCACTCTCCGAGTTCCCGGACATTTTAAGCTTTTGGAGAAGACAATTTTAGTGGTAAATAACAGCAGGGCTCCTTAAAAGATACCTTTTGCCCAGTTGAAACATGGCTTTTTCCACCAAAATAAAGGGAAACCACCATGTACAAGGCAATGTTCAGGTGTATAATCTAAGGATCCCTGTAACAGGCAACAAGCAACTCCTACCCCCCCCCCCTAGGAATCCCATCTATTATGCCATAGCTGGGACAGAGCAATGACAAGATTCGGACCTTTTTGGCCAATCATTTCACACGAGAAGAAGTCAGCCTTGGACGGAGCCAGAAGCTCGAGAGCGGAAGAGCGCTCCACTGCCGCTCAGGCGGAAGCGCCGGTGTCGAACGTCGCCAGGCGCGAGCGGGCGTTGCAAAATCGGACTGGGACAGTGGAGGACAGGAGCCCCCTGTATCGGAGCGCGCCACGATCGTATTTTGCCACATCCATGTGCGTGTATCTCAAAATAGGGGTGGTGTCTGTTGGTTTCCCTCTAACGCCATGCAAAAAGGGTACGCTCAGAAAAGAGACGCTTCTAATTCTGCACTCATTACCATTATTCACCAACCCTGAACAGGTTAGAGTAAGGCCCCTTGATCATAGGTGAGCTACACCATCAGCCAGGCCCTGGAATGATTTCGTTGTTGAAAATGGATCCTTTCATGGACATCGTTTACACGGAGATTTATGTCCAGCACCAAGCATTCCGGAGGGAGCGCCCCATCAAAATTCATGGCCATCAACAACCCCTGCTGTCAACCTCCGCCGGACACAGTGTCTTCGGGCGCATTTCAGGGAGCAGAAGAATTGCTCAAACGGATCCCGATTTGCCTCATCCGGAATCCATTGGACACCACTAAGCCGGAAATCACTGCTATCTGGCACACTGTTGGTGGACGAAGTCCATTTCGCACCACTTGGAATGCGGGGGGAAACCATGACATTTGTTTGTATCTACGTTTGGAATCGAATCAGAAACCAGGGTGTTTGAATGGCGGCGCGAAATGGATTTCGCAAACACCCACGGTAAGGACTAGTGCTTTTGAGGAACCTAGGGTGATCAGCCTGCAACGCAGGCTTGGGCCCTCCGTTCGGCTCGTGTTTTCGTCGTCTAACTTCTACCCTCCCTCCAACAATGATGAAAGTGGACAATCCCACAAAGAAGTGGACAGGAGGAAAGTGGACTTCCAAGACCCTTCTGTCAGCTTCCACGTTTCGTTGCCCCAACCCCCACACCGAAATCTCATCCTATCCCACCCCACCCCACCCCACCCCACCCCACCCCACCCCACCCCACCCCACCCTCCATCCCACATATCCCGTCCAGGGCCAGCGGCAACGAGATGCGGAACTACTCGGACCTCTTCGGCACGGAGATGGGCCGGCGCCCCAACGACAAGGTCCCGCGCCAGGCCCCGCCGGGGATAGGGGGGATGGGGCCTGGCGGCCTGGGCGCTTGGCGCGTGCTCGCACGAAGGTTTTTTTTGTTGTTTTTTGAGTGGCTTCTTGGAACTCAGCACTTTAGCCACTTTTTGGGATTGCACCAGGAAACGGTTTGGTTGCCCAAGGGAAGGATCAAGGATTGCCTCTTACAGACCAGCTTTCCTGGCCAGTCAATTCTGGGTGTTTCCCCGCGGGCAACACCATTTTCGTAAACTCCCGGTTCAAGGTCAGAATCAACATGGGTAGGAATTTGAATTAGGGACCCTTTGGTGGACATCATTTAGGTGGGGATTTATGTCCACCAACCATTTTCAGGGAGTTCCGCACTAAAATTCATAGGCACATGTGATTCTTGGTTGGGCCGGCCTTTTACCCTCTTAACAATGGAAGTGCAGCATGTCCTTTTTTTGAGACTGCCGTCATCTTGCAGAGGTGTCCTGTATGCCGGCATGTTTAGCCTGTTTAGGTTGATTATTGAGCAACTAGCAAACTTTATCACGCAACTTTGTCATAGAATTGTACCCTTCCAGGATTGTTGGAAAGAGGGTACGCTCTGCCACGTCCAAATCCCAAAAGAGTCGTTCATCGGTTCAGCTTCTCAGTTGTCCAAAGCGAATCGACCTTTCCACTTTTTGGTTTCCCCTTTTCGATCCATTTTTGGTCATGGCCCCAAAAGGCTAACCTTGTATTTGCAGGTCCTTTGGGCAAGTGAGGGTTGCAAACGGTTCACCCTTTGCACCCATTGTGTCTTCATCGTTTTACCCGGCACTTTGAGGGTTCTTCTCTTGAAGAGGCATGTCCATTTCGCAGGAAATGGCTGGGCGGGAGATGTTTCCCTTCAACTTTCCCTTTGTAATCCTCCCTTTTTTGTTGGCTTCTCCAACAAAAAAAAACTAAAAGGATGACGTGGCCACACCGGGAAGGGCATCCAACGTATTTTTTGTTCATCAAACCGGACGCGCCAGTGGCTCGGAAAAAGCGCGCCAGGAGGTGCTGGGCACCAAGTGCTCCTTCCTGGACCACCGGAACGAGCTCGAGACGGCGCGGACCGGTCAACAGAGGCGGGGGCAAGTGACGGTTTTGGGCAAGAGAACGTCACCGCGAGGGTTCCCTGAGTTCCCAATACGTCCCTGATGTTCTTTATATCTCCCATCGTCCCCTTTGTTGTTCCCCCTTCGTCGTTTCCCGATGGTTTTCCTTTGTCGTTTCCCCATATTTGTCCCTTTGTCTTTCTCTAGATGTCCGTTTGTTGTTCCCTACATGTCCCTTTATGTTTCCTTTTATTTCCCTTTTGGTGTGGTGAAACGTCACCTTTTTGGCCCATGGGTGAGTTGCCCGAAAAAAAGGGGTGAGTTGTTTCAAGGGGAGTATGGGGTCAAAAGGCCGAGGCGGGAAAGAATGACGCGCTCTCGTGCGTCAAAAAGGTCCAACTGGCTATGAATTTTCACGCAGGTGGTGGGACGATAATTCCCCACATGATGTCCATCAGAGGATCCCCAAGCAACATTCAGACAGGGCTTACTGGGGGTTTGCCGCCGAGTTTGGTGAGACGTTATCCTGCTGGTCTCCTTGAGAAACTTAGATCTATTTCCGGGGTTGTGAGAAAAATCCGGGTCCCCTGTGGTGATCTCACTCTTGCACGGCGCAATGGGGCGGCATCAGGCATCGAGGAAGAACTTCTCCATTGGTTCTTGGGGTTGAGCAAGAATATCCAGTAGTCTATGGTGAATTTGGCACTGGGCGATCGAATTCACACAATTTCCTCCAGAAAAGCCAGGGATTTGTCCCACGAGTTTTCCATGACCTTCCCTGTTGTTTTTGTTGCATGATCCTATATGCTTCTGTCTCAAGATGTATATAGTGTTTCTGAGTGGTTTCCGAGCTGGTGACCTTGTGTCTTTCTTTGTTTTTGCTTGCTGGGAAATGACCCCTATAAACCATGTTTGATGGTTTCCTTCAAGAGAATCTCCAGGTTCATTCCCTCATTCCCTATAGCACCAGCAAGGGGGAGGGTTCCCCTGGCAGAACTTTCTCGGATCGGATCCGCAGATACGCCCAAGCTGATTCGCCCAAGATGCGCAAGGAGGCGATGTTCCGGCGAGTCCGTTCGCCGCGGGTGGCTGCGGTGGTTGGGGGGATCTGAGGATTGGTATCCTCCACTCTTGCACAGTAGTTGAAACATGGCTTTTTCCAGCAAAATCAAGGGAACATTTACAAGACAATGTTCGGATGTATAATGTAAGGATCCCTGTTGCAAATTTCGTTTTGTCAACGTGTGCTTGTTGAAGATTTGCAGGGGGGAGGGGTTCTGGAAGTTGGTTTTGAACTTACGCCGCGATGTGAAGGCTGATTTGGAGATCACTTCGATCCTGCTACGCCTCGGTGTTAAGTTAAGCTGCTCCCCGACTTGAAAGCGTTTGGCTTGGGAGGGATGTTTGCTTATATAAGCAAATGCAAGTCTTCTGGCGAATACCCTCCAGACGATACGATGGAAGCTCCAGAACGGACCCCTTTGGAAGACGTGATTCCATTTACGGGATCGGCCAATTGGGGGAGCGTCCGGCTGTTAGTCTTAATGGATGGTGGCAACTTGTCGGGCTGGTAAGGGAACCCAGTTCCATGGAACTGGTTTTGTAGGTTTACGGGCGGGAACCACAGAAACACATCGAGATTTAGCAAGTAGACAAGAACTACCAGGAAATTCATGAAACAATTGAATCTCCAGGTTGGACGAATGGAAGTGGACAAGTCTTTGGTGGCAACTTGTTGGGTGGACAAGGGAGCCCTCTTCCATTTGCCCCATTTGGTCGGCTTGGGGCGGGGACCACCCAATGGCCGTCTTTTGGGTTTCGCATCGCTCCGCGCGCGTTCGAAAACGAAGCGGAGCATCGGATCGAGGCGGAGCAGTCGGCGGCGCAGCAGCCGCGCAGCGAGGCGAAGAAGCTCGCGGGGCTCCAGCAGGCGATGGCTCGAGCGAAGCGCGGCTGCTACGGTTGGCATGTGTTGGTTTTCTTCTCTTTTTTTAATGATTTATGTACAGGGTTGTGGGATCAAGGGGTTTGTCTCCACTTCTGTGATACAAGGGAATCCCCCTTTCTATGAAGAAAATAGTCTTTGTGAAGCCCTTTCTGTTGTATCACAGAAGTGGTCATCCCCCACAGCCCTGTTTATGTATGTTCTGAGCATTTTTTGGGGGCTGCAAAGAAAAGCAAAAGCTCTTTTGCTACCATAACAAGGGTTGGAAAGAAAGCCTATAGCCTTCATAACCATGTTGAACCATTTAACATTTTAGTAGCTGGTTCTACTACCTGGTGTCATATAGGCTAAATTGGAACCTCTATTTTTTTTTGGGGGGGGGAAGGGGGAAAAAGTCCTACCACTACCACCCCCAAAGAAGGGTACCCTAAGTCCGGAAAAGTTCTCTCCCAATTTATGCTGCACTTGGTCACCACACGTGAAACAACAGCTGCTTCAAAGGAGAGTTCTTTTTGCGGCACATGTCTTATTGTTTGAGGTCTTAAACAATAATCTGAACATAGTATGTTCTGTGTACCCGTAGATGTGGACCATGCTTGAAGGGAGACATGGGTGCGGTGCCAATCTATCTTGATGTAAGGTGTGAAAGTTTGGGTGGTTGAGCGTGGTTGGTTTCCTTCGGCTATGACTGGGGCCTGTACCATACAGCAGGATGTATATGTGACATATTATATGTGCCTGCAAAGTCCACCCCCACTTTACGTTAAAGTGATCCTTTGTCTATCCACAGTACTCGTAGTACTGCGTATAAGCGGGTTGCTTATGACCTGGTATAAGAGGGTATAACATTAGGAAAAGGCTCTAATCGTCCAAGCGGAGAAATAGACTTTTTTAGGAGGCGAGCCTCTTTCAGGAGGGAAAACTGGTTTGCGGCGGAAAACGCCGACTCCCCAAACCACTTCCCCTGAAGGGTAGGTGAGAAGGGGTGGCCAACGTTTTTCGGTAGCGAACCTTTTCTCAAGGAGTTGGATTTCGAGCTTCAAACGCCGCCAGGCTTTGGATTTGGAGCGGGGCATCCACGACAGCAAGGATGGGCTCGGCATCACTGCCGAGGTGTCGCGCCAGGACACTCAGGACGGAACACCTGGGTCAAGAGGGTGCTTTTCAAAATTGCGGACCCGTCAAATGTCAACCTTCCATTTGCTTGAGAGTATGTGTTATTTTCCCCTGCTGGCTTTAAAGGCATTTATCACCAGTGGAAATATGTGTTTTTCCTGGAGACTCTGGCAAAAGGAGGCAACTATTTCCTCTTGGCTCCCTTCAAACCATCCAAAACGGGGTTCACCCTTTTGAGGCCCGCCCCCTTCTTGCAGTGCCTTACCTGCAGAACAACCTCTGCCTAGCCGATTCCGATGCGAGGGTAAAACGAGCGGCGATTTGCCATATTTGCCTGATGCAGGTCTTGGAGGGGTAACACTCCTGGGGGAGCCCTTAGTTCAGGTCTTGGAAGTACTGTGAACAAATTAATCAGGTCACATGGAACCCCAAGAACGCTCGTTCTAGAGGAGTCTCCATGTGTTCTAGAGGTGATTGTCTCCAATTTTGTTTTGGGGGGGTTGCTTCCTTTTTGGATTTCATGTTTATTTTTGTGGGGGTGCAGGGAAAAGGCCCTCTGTTACATACTTTCCCCCAATCTGTTTTTTGAAGGGTCCCCCTTACCTTGGTTTCAGGAAAAACGGGCCTTGGCTCATTCGGGGTTGACCCCTTCCTTCAATGTTCTTGGCATGTTTTTTGGTTTTTTAGTTTTGGTTCTGTTCATTTTTACTGGGGGTCTGCAAAGAACAGTCAGTTTTTAGCTACCATGCCAAGAGTAGAGATGCATCGAAACCAACACGCAGACCCACCCAGGTCTCTTGGCTCTGGTCGCTCAGGCCGGCGCCGGGAGAAGGACTTCCGCAAGGCAGGCAATTGGATCGGCGCTTCTTGAAGCGGAAAGCGGGGGACTATTGGCGGCCAGAGGTTCCATTGTCTTCCCCAGAATTCGCTCCCCTTTTTGTTCTGTTGCTTTTTTTGGGTCCTTTTGTTTTCCATAGATATTTTTTGCTGGGTCCTAGTTCCAGCCTAGTTGTGTGTGTGTGTGTTTGGTTTCTGAGGGTACCCTTAACAGGTTTCATATGGTGGTCCAGGAAGAACATGAAGTTTGGAGTTTAGATCCATTTGCGTGTGTTCATTTTGAGGCTTGGTACCCCTTGTTTGGGTTTGGAAGGGAAACCAAAGGGACATCCATATTTTGGGTGGAAGGGGCATCAAAAGGACACACCCATTTGGGTGTGCGTTTGTTTTTTGAGGGTGCCCTTCACAGGGTGCATAGTCCATGAGACACAATTTTGGGAGACCCCAGCAAAGACAAGTGAATGTGTGTTTGATTGTGCCTGTTGAGGCTCGGTACCCGTTTTGGTGCAGATTCCAAGGGAAACCAACAGGAACACCGAAATCCATTTGTTTGGGTCCAAGCCCCTATTACACATCCCCATTTGAGCCAGAATCAACAGCCGAGTTGAAGAAACAGTGACAAGTCTGATGGTTTTGGGTCCACTGGTGGATACCAGGTTGTGATTGCAACTCATTTGGTGCAGGTACGGTTTCAATTCCCCACTGGTTGTCTGTCGGAGGGTGGTCAAAAAGATGTCCAGAAAAGGGGGCTCGTCAGCGGCCGGTCCTTTCCCATTGTTCCACACTGTGGATGGTTGCGAAATCCATTTCACGCCAATTGGAAACCACGGGAAGCCATGGTTGGGTTGCATTTAGAGGGGAATCATCATTTCGGGGTTTCTTAGGTGGTGCAGGATTTCGTCCATCCACAGTATGTTTCCTTTGTGGAGTGACGTAATTCTGCATGAAGGGAGGGGAAAGCGCACAGTGTTTCCCGAAAAATGGAGTCGGGATCGGACTGTGATTTTAGCGGCCCTTTCCCTTTCCCAATTTAACTCCCTCTCTCCAGAGATGCTGGTCCAACCCTAAATCTACTTTTCCAACATAGACGTGGAGAGGGCGCTTCCCCACAAGGAGAGTCTTCCAAAACCATCGCCAGCTTCCATTGTTGGAGGGAGGGTCCGCGGGCGGCTTGATCCCAGGAGATCTATATTTGGAGCACGTAAATCGCCACGTAGAATGGCTCCCGATTCATTGGGGGGTGTCTCTGTTTTTTTCGGATTTGGAGCCCCCGGTGTTCCCTTTGGTTGCCTTTAAAACCAACAAAAACAGGTCCAGAGCCTCCAAAAATAGACAGAGCCGCCCATTGGGAAGGCTGAATTCCCCCAAAAGAGATGGCAAGTTGCCATTGGGCGGAAAGGATCCAGTTATCTATGTTCCCTTGAGGTTAGAATGGCTCCAGCCAACATGACTTGCTGGTGCTAGGTAGGGAATGACCTTCCGGGTGTTGCGAATAAACCGGGAGGGATTTCCTCCAAGGAAACCAAATCGGGGACGGGTGTGTTTGCTGTTTCTTTTCTTTCTTTTCCCGGGGTCATTCCCTGTCCCATTCCCTGCCTATCGAACGCCATGTTGCCTGGAGTCTCCGATTTCCCACGGTCAGAGTCAGTCTTTCCCACCTTTCGAGCCTCGGAGAAAAAAAGCAAGCAAGAAAAACCCAAAAAGAACAAGAACAACAAAAACATAAAACCACCGAAGCGAGCCTCACCAGGATTTCGAGGGCGATGTGCGGCATTTGTCCAAGAAGCAGCAGTGCTTGAGCTCGGACCAGGTGCTCCCGGCCTGAAGAGAGATGTGTTTTTCTCATAATAAAGGGCGGCGTTCGTCTCTTTTTGGTAGAAATTCGGTCCAAAATGGACAAGGGTTTGGTTTCCGTTTAAAACCAAGCAAACACACATTTGTCCTGTTGGTTTCCGTTTAAAACCAAGCAAACACACAATTTAGTCTCAAAAAGAGACAGACCCAATTTTAAGGACCTGTGGACAAGCTGTTTCTCAACTGGGTACTCTCAAAGAGACAGACCCAACTCGGGACCTGTGGAAGAGCTGTTTCTCATCTCACTCCCTGAGTTCCTGGACTTTAAACTTTTTGGGAAGACCATTTTAGTGGTAAACAGCAAGTTTGAACTTTTTTTGGGCCATCCTCTCAGCCAGTGAGTCATTGAACGGGCGGCTCGTCTTTCCTTCTTCGGAATCGGAGGGCCCCGCACTGGCGATTGGAGGGTTTGTCCTGTCGATTCGTTTCCCTCAGGCGAATCGGCCGAGGAGCACCTGGCTTTGTTTTTTGGGTGCGAAGACCTGTTGGCTTTCTTGGGTGCACTTTTTGGTCCACTGTTTCAGGGCTCCTTAAGAGATGGATCCATTTTGCAACCGTTTGAAACCTGTTGCTTTTTCCACCAACCTAAAGTTGGACACCACCATTTACAAGTTGCAATGTTGGATCGGTGCAGAATGCCTCCGGATCCCCTCCTGTTTGACTCCACCTTTTTTCTCAGTTTCTGGTCCCGAAGGTTCGAGTCCCAACTTTCACTTCCAGGTCCCTGAGGTGCAACCGGCCGAGTTTCCCTCCGGGAAAAAAGGAGCAGAGGCTTCCCTCAGGCCCAAGCAAGGTATGTGGCTTCCATGGTGTCCTTTTTGGTTGTTTTGGTAGCAAAATAGAGGGCGATTCCTGGTTGACCTGGTGGTTTCATCATCTACCAGGGAAACCCATCTATTTCCCCTAAAAGGACACCTATGGTGGCTTCCCTCGAGCCTCGAGCCGAAAAAAAAGGGGCGGCCCTCGAAAAAATCGAATCGCCCCCCGCCCCAGCTGGAGAAAAATTTCGGAAAATCGGGTCCTCTTTTGACTTCGGTTTGGAGGGAATGGGGGATTCCTGGGCTGCATGAAGGTCTTTGACATTTGACCTAGGTTGCCCAGTAGCTCAGTAGTGCCCTTTCTCACCCAACTTTTTTGGGGGAGGGTTCCCCTAGTAAAATAGACTACAGAAGAAAGACGTACCAACTTATTCTAACCTCTGGAGGACCTAGTGACTGTTCTCCTATGTCCAGACCTGGCGAAGCTACTGGTTGTTGTTTTCTGTTTTGTCCATGGAGGGGATCGCGTCGCAATCAATCCACATAATCTCTAAGGCTTTGGAGCCTCGAAGCGGTGACCCCCTTTTGGCCTTTTGGGTCGGTGGGCAACGGGAAAGGATCCTGGAACTCATTGCCAGTCCGCTTCCCATGAGAGAAACAGGTCCGAAACCTGGCCGAAGAAGGCCACATATAATGTGAACGTCAGATTAAGAGGAATCGCCTAAAATAGACCATGTCCTTACTAAACGGGAAACCCCCACCCTCAGTATGGCACTCCGGATTGATCTCAAGTTGTTGCATTTGGCGGTGATGGTCTTGCTTCCCTGTAGTGAAAGGGATGGCGCGCGACACATGAAAAGCCATAGGGGCACCCATGGGTCCTCCCCAAGTTTGCTCACGCGAAGTCCAAGCCCCAAAAACCCAACCGCAAGGCTTTGTTGCCTTGGGGCTAGATGTGTTTGCAATGTCAGGGGAACCAACACGTGTTGAAGCAACCCGTGTTTGAACTTGAACTCAGGGGCCCTGGAAGGAAGCAAAGCTTCTTCTAGCTGCCAACCGGTTGCCAGATCTGGGTGCCCCCTTTTCATGGCGACTGGGATTTTGAAGACAAATCGAAACCACCCCCTTTGTAGGGGTCCAATTCCTCTAGCCCTCTCAAAATAGTTCATTTGCATAGATCCCCAATCGAAATTCTATCCAGCGGGTCGGCAATTGAAATTTACACGCGCTCAGCGGTGCCCTTTTTGTTCTCATCTTTTTCAGGAGGGGTCTCCCTTTACAATCCGAAAAACCAGCGTCAGCTCTTTTTGCCCATGGAAATTCACAGCTCTGGTCTCCATGTGCAATCAACTAAAAAAGAGCAGGCTTCCATTTGGCTGAAACACATATTTCTCATTGTTCCCTGTTGGTTTTCAAGAGAATCGATTTCACCACTAGACAGTCTAGACATATGTTCTCGTTTGCTCCAAACGAAAAAAAACAACAACATGGAGACAAAGGAAAGCTGCTCGTTGGCCATGGGATATTCGCATCAGGTCAGAAACAACATGGGCCAGGGCGTGGCGCCGGAGGCTTGCGGTATCTGGGGGAGGTCGCATTGATGTAGGTCCAATACCTCGGCCCCCCAGGTGCCAACTTTCTCACCCAACCTTTTTTGGGGGGAGGGTGCCCCTACTAAAATAGACAAAAAAATACAGTTGGTACCAACTGATTCTAAGCTCTCCACTGGAGGACCTAGTTTACTTGAGGATTCAAGTCAAGCTTCAGCTCATGTCAGCATTCTGAGCTCAGTTCTTCTTTCAGACAATGAGACTAGACTTGGAGTTCCCTAAGTAGAAAGCATTTCCTGACATCCTCGCTGACTCTGGTGTCCTGTCAGTTGCCCTTCACCTGGAAAGATTTGGGAACTGTCCAAGTAATCAACAGACAGCTTAGCCAGCAGGACATGTTCATCTAGGTTCCCCAGTAGTGCCCTTTTACCCTTTTTGGTGGAGGGTTCCTCTACTAAAATAGACCACAGGAAAAAGTTGGTACCAACTGATTCTAACCTCTCTCCTGGAGGACTTAGGCATAGTCCAATGCAGCGTACCATGAGTGCTTGAGCTTAACAACGGGCCATAGAGGAGAGCTAAGGAGATGGGGGCAATAAGCATATTTCTAGGGGTTGATTCCAATTCCATTCTTTTCAACCATCGTTCTTTCCAAAAACCGGATCCGTTTTCCCTGGGTTCCCGGAGGTTTTCTAGAAAGAAGGATCCCTGGCAAGAATGGGGAAGGTACCCCTAGAATATTATGTGTCGAAGGGTTTCGGACTCACTCAGAAAATGGCAACGGGCATAGGTGCCCTTTTTGGTTGTTTTGCTAGAAAAATAGAGTGCGATTTCTGGTTTACCTGGTGGTATGTTCTCATCTACCAGCGAAACCCATCTATTTCCTCAGGACACCGATGGCAAAACGGTTCCCGAAAGCTACCACAAATCTTGACCTCCGTTAGAGAAGCAGGGACTCATTTGATTGAACTCCAACCTGTTGGGTTGAGAGCACACACCGGGCCAAATCATCGGCCAGTTCCCAGCAACAAAGATGAGCGCAATCATCGGCACCCTTAAGAGGCAAAGAATTGCCTTCAGAGTTGGGGGGAGGCTTCTGAAAGGGGCACGCTCAAGTGCAAGAAGGTCCCTCACTTCCTGAGTTGGACTTTAAGCTTTTGTGTTTGGGCCATTTAAAATGGGCAAACAAAACCTCACTGATCTAAACCCTCACTGATCTGACCCCTATATCGGAAGTTCCGAATTTTAGTGGCAAGCAAGAGGTTTGGTTGCTTTGTTCGGCCCGTCTCGATCAGAAGCGAGGTCCTGGCAAGCAATTTGCTGAATGCTTTCCCTTCGATCCTGTTTTTTCAGCCCCTGCATAGATAGCACTTCGAGGCGGATGGCCGGAGTTCGGCTCAAGCTGTGATCCTAGTCGATAGACGTTGCTTGCCAACATCAATGGCCGCGGCCTTGCGGTGCTTCATGATGCTTTTGCCAGGGCTTGCGGCTGTGCGTGACATGAATTACCAGGAGCTGGACAGCACCAATGCCCAGCTCGTGTTGCAAATTGATAGCCTGACGCACACAATCAAAGAGCTCGGCTTTCAATACTTCGGCGTGAGCGCCAATGCTTCCTTTGCAGAGCTTGATGCCAAGCTCGCGCATGGCCGTGAAAACACCGAGTTCTTGAAGGGAGCACTGGAAGAGAGCCATCAGCGTTTGGAGGATCTTAGGGTCTATTTGGGATACTCCACGAAGACGTCTCGCGCATGCTGGCCCAGACCAGGGGCCAAGTTCTTTCTGTCTGACTGTAAAAGAAATGCTGATTGCACTGACTACCGCCGCGGGCATGAGGGCTGCTTCAATAGCACCTGTGGCTGTGCCGGCACTGTCTACAACACATGCGAGTGCCGGCGCTAGATGGAGCGAACTTTCAACCGCAGCCAGTGCCGAAGAAGCGGGTGATGCGCTTTCATGGGTGGCAGGCTTCATCGATTTCCGTCCCTACAGCTTGTGTCCGTTCTACCACTTGCACACCATGGTTGAAACCACAACGTTGGTTGGTAAAACAGGCAAGCGGATCAGTCCAACGAATTTCGTCCATCCACAGTATTGACATTTTCTACCTTAGCCAGAGGGCATGCTAGCTTCAAGTGCATGAGACTTGTCTATGCCTTGCAGGCGCAGATGCGACGGCTAGCTGGAGCGAACGAATTCAGAGGACTCCTTTCTGATGGATTTGGGGCGGACTCCGTCAATAAGCGGCTCAACAACAATGATTGATAGCATACTCCTACAATCGTGACTCAATTTAGTTTCATGGCGCCCCAACCCCGCATTTGAGGGATGTTAGACACTCATTTGCTTGGTCCGAAACGGGGAGCAAACGTGGAAATGCGTCCATTGCGGTATATCAGCTATAGTGCCTCTAACAAGTGCCACGGTCAAAGACCCTTTCAACGGTGAGGATTCCTGTGAAACAATGGCTATTTCCCACACATGGCTGCGGGTCAAAAATATGTGCCCAAAATGGAACCCTGGTAAATGGAGACTTGGACTACAACCTGCGGTCCGATTCCTGGTGGTTTAATTTTGGCCCACACCCACATGGAGTTTCTGCACTGCTAGGCGCCCCAGATTTCGCCTCACCAAAATCCCTTTGCCTACCTGAAAATCCACCAAGCAGGCCCCGGCGCCGCCCACCTCGCGGGGCCTGAAGCTGGCCGGGCCCCACTCCCCCACCAAGCACGAAGGCGCGCGCGCGCTCTCGCGCGCGAGCGAGCGCGGGGAGTGCGGGGAGTGCGGGGAGTGCGTGTGAGTTGTTGGTAAATGGACGTTGGGGGCTTTGTGAAAAAATAGGAGAGACTCGAAACACAAACTGCGTGGTTTTTTGTTGGGTTCTAAAAATTAGATTGGGAAGCTGACAAATGGTGTTTGTTCCTTTGGGATTGTGAATAATTTCATTGGGGATACCCACAAATTGTAGGTTTTTCTTTTGGCTTCCCATGAACACCAGCCAAACAGGGTGTCTCCGCAAACGACATACCTATTGGGTCAAAACGAGGTCACTGCGTAAGTCCTTTGCTTGAGGCTCCCGTCGAAAGAATTGAAAAACCTATAGATTCCGATTTTCCCGGAGGATGACGCGCTGAAATATGGAGTGGTTCTCCTATCAGACAGGAAATAGCATGTTTACAGGGTCCTCGGCACAAATCTAAAGTGAACAGTAACAACCAAAGATCCATCATGCAACCATTATGCAAACATAATCAAAGGAAGCTTAGAAGGAACTTCCGAACTGATTGAAAGCTAGCTCTCTCAGAAAGATGACAAAGACAAATAAGCACGCGAGAAAGAATGTGGCGCGTGTGGCGGGGGAATATAAGTGTGAAAAAAGTGCTTTGGGATGCTCGAAAGTTAGCCTGATCGCGATGCCGGTCGGAGCGATCTGGGAGCGCATTCGGACCGTCACCGCGTTCGGACCGCATTCGGACCACGTTCGGCGCCGGATTCTGACACAGAAATAGAGCAGACAGCAGACTAGGACAAGGAAGGCCTTGACGGCCATTCTGGGCATCTTTGGAGCTGTCACGGGCGTTGCCCCGTCAGTGGCTCCCTAGCAGGTCTCCAAGGAACATGGCGTTCAGGGCGGGCCTCCCTTCCAGATATGGTTCCGGAAAGGAAGGCCTTCAACGCAGCGTTCCTTTTTTTGGGCAGGTATGCTCAAGCAGTTTTTTTGGTCTGGAGCTGGGCGTGGAAAAGAGATACTCATTCAAGCAGTGTTCCTTTTTTGCAGAGCTGGCCCCGAAAAGGAAAGCCAAGCCAGGCCATTCTGGTGGAGAAATAAATTGAAGAAGTATAAAGAAAGGTTAGTTAATGATGGTATTTACAAGGTTGATTAATTATATTATCACTATCAAATTTTTGAAGAATTCACATAAATAGCACACTCATTTATAACGGTGTATTTTTTAACTTTAAGTGGCCTCGGCCTTCAATCGTGGCAGAGAAGCGAGGGTGGAGGGCGTGGTGGGGGGGGGGGGGTTGCGGCGGGTGTGTGGGAGGGGGGTGTTATATCAAAATGCAAGCGACAGAAGCTTGCAGCCCATGGAGCCGAGCTGTGCGGAAAACATCCTTGTTCATGGTCATGTGTGAATTTTGAGCCCATGCTTGTCCAGCGTTGCCAAGCGTTTCACGCCAGAGCGTGTGAGCCTTGCAGCAGACTGCAAGATGCTTGAGCTCGCGCCGCAACAAGCCCTACGCGTGTCTCTTTTCAGTTTATCGCTTTCCTACTTGTTGCGCTCCGCAACTCTCTGCTTGGATCGGTGTGGTCGACGCGCGGGCGATTCTCCTGGAGCTGTGGATGATCCCTTGGCTCTTTCAATGCTGCGCTCCAGCAGCGCCGACGCGTTGCATGGGGCTGATGGAGCGACTGCAACAGGCTCCGCCCCCACCCTTCCCGCCCTTGTTGCAGCCTCTGACGCGCGCCGCGAAACTTTACTGAAGCGCCAGGGGGTCCTGGCAGACTGCGTGAGATGTAGCATGACTCCGTTGTCCTAAAAAAGATGATGCCGTGATAATGCTGCAAGGAGCTTTGCCGAGCTATAACTGCTCGCCTGGCTCGCAGCCTGAAGATGAGCGACCGTGATGAGTATATCTAGTGTGCTCGCGTCAACTTAAAGAGCCTTTGTTCTGTTCTCAATGTTGCGCTGTCATGCTGTGGTGATTGCCTGGCCTTGCGCGAACCTACTTTATGTTGAATTGGGAGTTGTGACAAAGCAGATTGTAAGGGCCTTCGCGCAGCGTGCGGCCGTGGGGCGTACGGCTCGCAGTCACACGCCGTGGCAGCCCGGTGCGCCACCTCGCGCTAGTTTGGATCCGCCCCGTTCGTTCGCAAAGGCATGTTGCTCCTAGCCTTGCCAGGGTCAGCCCCCGAGGCTTTGCCTAAGGCAATATGCGTGGTGGACGGGTCTCACCTGTCGGCTTCCGCAAAGTGCAAAACGCCAGGACATCGATGATGACAGAGCTCTGCCGCGCGGCCGTCTAACCAGGGAAGGGGTCGAGAAGTTGATTGAGTGGACCAAGTTGAACTAGACCCTAGGACTCGACCAAGGTTTACCGTGAAAGGTCGCGATATCCGTCAGGGCGCGTCACGTGATGGTAAGCAAGCGTCTCGCCCAGGGTTGCGGTCAGATAGCCTTGAAATCTGAGACAGTATGTCTGCGACAAGTCCGTTCGTCCGGGGTTTAAGCTACATCTATCTCGATATGTTTTTAAAGCCCTGCCGCAAATACAGCGCTCTTAGCAGTAGCTATGGAGCAAACTATCTTTTGGCAAAGCTTTTTAATTTCGCATGTCTTGTAAAATCATGTTTTTCTTATCTGTTTGCATCTCTTTATCAATCCGGCCTTTTGTGTTTGTTTTATCTCGTGCGTGTGTGTATACACTCTTGTTATTTTCTTAATGTCCCGTATGTCCCTTTTCCCAAGCCTTTTCTTGCGAAGTTGAGTTTTGGGTGCTCCTTTTGGTGAAGTGTTTTTAAATAGGACTTCAAATTTGCCTGCTGTGCGTGGCTGCCACGTTTTGCGCAGTTGGATTTCTTCAGGACCTGTCACTGGCCTGCTTGGTCGGCCTGCTGCTTCTCGCGAAGTGGGATTGTTTTAGTAGGGTTTTTCAATTTGCTTGTGCGCGGCTGCCCTTTTTCCGTATCTGTCTCCCGCTTCGGCTAGTTAGTATCTAAAAACGTTGCTTTGCGCCTCTACTTTCACCTCAATATTGTTTTTTGATGAGCACGCCAGCTCGCGTAGCACTATTCTATTCGTATCTATTTGCCCAATTTGCAACTGCGAGTTCGCCAGCAGGGTGGGTACGGCGGGCGTCGTTGATGTGGGTGGGTGTGGGTAGGTGTGGGTAGGCGTGGGCAGGTGTGGGTCGGTGTGGGTAGGTGTGGGTGGGTGTGGGGTGTTGGTGGGTGGGGGTGGCAGGGGGGAGGCAGGGCTTGGGATTGCTCACGAGCATCTCCAGAGAACCATGCATAGGATTCTGAGCCTGGGCCACTAAGAAGCGGGCCTTGGGGCATCACCTGATAGAAAAATCCAGCGACCTCCTAAAAGTGTTCATTGGTCCTTTTGCTTCCCCTTTTTTAGGGGCGGTTAAAAGGCAAGCCCTGCGTTAACGAATGGAAGTGCAGAGGTGCCCTTTAAAAGAAGGTAGCTGTCCAGCGGGGATCAGCGCACCAAGATCACCCAGCCGTGTTTTTTTTAGGAGCTCGGGAACTCTTTCATTTTTGCGTTTCCCAGCTGTGGGCCTATGGTCTTGGTCAGTTGTCTTACCTCGTTGGCCCTTCCGCCGCACGGCCTTCGGCTCGCGCTTGGCGTTCGGCCCAGGGCTCACGGCGCAGAAGCACGAGCAGATGCTGCGCAACGCGAAGGACAGCGGGACTCGGTACGCGGCACTCGCCTGTTCGTCAGACGAGAGAAAAAACCCGAGGGATGGTTTTACTCTACAAGCCAACGTGGAACTCAAAAAGGGGCCTCCCAAAAGGAGGTTCCTCTAAGACTTGTGGTTTTCAGGTTCCACGTTTGTCTGTAATGTTGACCCCGGATTATTACGCCCCTGTTATTAATATGGGGGTGTCCCCAGTTTTAGTGGTTTTTGTTTAATCACTTTTGGAGGGGAACACCCTCATATTAGTACACAGGGGTTTAGCTTCATCCGGGGTCAACATCAGGAGGGGGTACCTCAAAAACGGGATGTGCTTCGCACCCCATGGCGCATTGGCCCAAGAGTTCCTTGGACGTCCGTTCCGTTTGGTGAACCCATTTGCAACCGAGGATGACCCGCATCCGCCCTCCACTCCAGGTTGTCTTGAGAAGACCTTGTCAGATGACCCTCCAGTGGTGGTTTGGGTTCAGAACTTCGGGATCTAAGGACTTCGGGAATTTACCCCCCCTCCAAATGTCAACGAAAACTAAGGGCTGGAACCCTAATTTCCCATTGTCCTGTACCTCCATTTGCTTAAGCATGCTTTTCTGTTTTCCCCGGTGGGTTTTAAAGGGAACCTATCACTATATACTGGAAATGTGTTCCGATTTTTTCCAGGGACCTATCAGCAAATAGAGGCCTTTGGGTATTACACATTGTCCATGTCCAGGGTTGTGGGATCAAGGGGTTTATCCCACGGAAATCCCCTTTTTATATGAAGGGTTGGTCTTTGGGAGGCCCTTTTTGTTGTATCGCAGAAGTGGATTCCATTTCCCACAGCCCTGTCCATGTCCTTTGAGCAGCCACAGATCATTTAGGGCCATACCCTTTCTCCGGCTCCCGTGGCTCTCCCCCTTTGTCAGCAAAGCAGATTGAGTACAAACCTCTCCCAAACCCGAGGCTTCCCCAAAGTGAAGCTGGGATTTAGGGCGAAATGGTCAAGTAGATCGCCACTGTCTCTTCTCGAATCCAGAAGTGGTTGGTGGACCTCGCAGGTGGCTGGACATCAACTCCCAAGGTCCACCAAGCGGTTTTCGAATGTGCACTATGTGGATTTCGGATGGATTTCGGATGGACTTTCAAAGGGCCCCCCAATAGAATTCCTTTTGTATAGATGGATGGACGGGTCCACCAAACGGTCCCCCAATAAAACTCATTCTGTGTATAGATGGACGGATGGATGGACAGATTTTCACCCAGTCGGATCGGTTTGAGCGATAGGACACCAAGCTAGCCTCCTTGCAGCGCGGGTCTCGGAGAGTTTTGACCACTGACCGCGGGCCGGCGAAGGGGCAAAGCCTTTGCACTTCCCTTCCCAGAGTGGTTTTGTCGGACGGCTGGTTTTGAAAAATGACCGTTTTTTTTTTGTTTTTTTTTTTTTGTGTTTTTTTGTTTTCTCGATGTTTTATAGTTTTTTTTTGTTTTTTTTTGAAATTTGTCGGATCCCCAAACAAAAAGAGATCAGCCCACACCCAGATTTCATGACGAGGGTAGTTTCATTGACGCCATTCTGCCGCGGTGTTTGGGGGCCAAGGAAATCTCCTGGGAGCAACTGCTTGACTTTGGGTGGAAATAGCCTTTGAGCCTGTACGGGTTTGTCTGAGCAAAAAAACAACACCGCAAAAGCAGGTCCTCAAACAAAGAACATGCCCAAGCACTGCTCAACCTGGACCCCTGTAGTTGTGATGGTTGGTAAAACAATGTCGTGTTCTCCCGACCAGGATTGAGCCGAATCCCGAATCCAACCCTTTTGGGTATTCACACCTGAGTCACAATCAACACCCTGGTAAGTGAAGGATAGTAAGGGACACTCCCCTTGCCATAAGTAGCTGTGGATCTCCGCTTGCTTAATTCTTGAAGCATGGTTCTGGGAGTACGACCATTTTACTACCGGGTTTCGATGACTCACCTGGGCTTCGGGCGAGAAAAGAAAGCATCCGGCGCCTGCCTGAGGTCCAGCATCTTCACCTGAGCCGCTGAGCCTTCTCGCTCTGTAAAGGCTCGGAGGTCCGTTTTTGCCTCACTTTTTTGGTTTGTTTCAGTCGGGTTGCGGCTTGAAGGGAAACACCGCATGTGTCATGAAGCATCTGGTTCTTGGCACGGGCTTCCTCAGTTGCCAATGTGTTTTTTTTGAACCTCCAAAGGTGGCAAATTCAAGGGGCTCTATCAGTGAAATACATGTTTTGAAGGGGAATCCGGTGTTGCCCCTGTATCAGTTGGCTCATGGCAGCGCCATTCTTTGATTTGCAGTCTACCTATCCTCACGGCCAATTGAGAGCGAGGTTTCCAGTGGAATTGCTTAGAGGAACTGTGGGAGGATGTTTCCTTTTGGCGGGGGCTTTGTTGCCCAGTGGTACCCTTTTTTCCTTTTTTTGGGCAAGGGTTCCCCTTTAAACTCAACAAAAAAAAGGTGCGGACTCATTTTTCCCCATGGGAATCCACTGGGCATCTGAGAGTCTTACCCCGCAAATGCTTTCTGCCCGGTTGGCCGCATGTGACGCGGCATGTGGCCAGCCCGGATATAGGGCAGGTGAAGGCGGACAGTTGCCATTGCTAGCCACGTTTTGTGCTGAGTGAAGGGCTCAATGCGTGTCATGTGTGTCACACGGCTTTTTTGAAGGTGCAGTCTTGTCCATATAGTTTTTGTTGAACCAGCTTCGTGATGGAGGGCTCGATCTGTGAGTCAGACAGTTTTGTGTGAGCCCGACCTTTCAGAAAGCAATGGTTGAGCCAAACCATTTAGGAACCAGTGAGCCAAACCTTTCAGAAACCGATGTTTGAGCCAGACCTTTCAGAAACATTTGCTAAGGCAAGCCTTTCAATGAACATGTTTGGAGCCAGACCTTTGCCTACTGCAAATGCTTGAAGTCTAGGCGCTGGGCTAGTCCTTGCAGGGCGGTGACAAAAAGATTGCCCGCGCGAGGAGATGCCGTGAGAGCGGAGCGTTTCAAAGGCCCTCAGAAATGGCCATGAAAAGTGGGAACCACCTCAAAAGCGGTTGGTGGGCATGACTCCCCAAATCCTTTATATGAATTCCAGCAAATTTCGGGTGCCTAATCATTTTGTTTATTCCCAAATGGAATTTCCTCAGCCTGGCATGCGGGTCCCCATGCTTGGTTGCCCCTTCGACAAAAAGGTCATGCACGGTGCATGCAACGCCTCGTTGCGGAAGACACTGACGGCTTCGACCAAAACGCCTCGTCTCCAACCACGGCCATGCCTGCGATGCGGCGAGAAGAGCCGAGCCGCGGTCAAAGTGAAAAAGCAAAGCATCGTCGAGAGCGAGCGGGGTGGGCCTTGTTCGATCCGACCCCATATAAGTCAACCCCAGTTTATGAACTGGGGGCGTGTTGCCCTCCAAAAGTGATGATTCCCCACTCCCAGAGACACCTATCAATAACCTGGGGTTGATTAATATGATCAGCATTACTTGAATGTATTGGGTTGGATGGCCCCAAAAGGAAAGTAGTCTTCCAACACCATCCTGTCAGCTTCCATGATTGCTGGAGGGAGGGTACCCTTTTTCCACCAGGCATGGAAGTGAACTCAGAGGATGGTCTTCCAATCCCTTGTCCTCCATGACGAAGGTAGCCTTAAACTTGATAAATAATCATTGTTCGATCCAAGAGCCAATGCTTTTGGAAGGCCATCAAGTTTCGACGCCCAAGAACTTCCCTTTTGGAACCCAGGCCGAGCGAATCGACCCCAGGGTTGGGGGAGAAAATAGATGCCTTTTGCAAAACCACGAGAAATGCTCGTTTTCCCAAAAGAACAAGCCATAAATAAATGATGTTTTTTTACCATTGGTTTCCCTTTAAACCAACCTGACCACTTTAAAATCACTGCTGTGGATGGATGAAGTCCACTTCGCACCACTGGGAAACCATGGTTGAAACCAGAACGTTGGTTGGCCTTTACGTTGGAGAATCAGCATTTCAGGGTTTCTTCGGTGGTGCGAAATGGATTTCGTCCATCCACAGTACCAAAAGCAGAGTTGCCAATGGTTTTTCCCATGGCCACTCGCAGTCTGAGCATAGTTTGGTCTATTTGCTGAGCTGAATCAACCCCTGACCGAGGGAACCAAACAAAAAGAGGTTGTTTGAACCATCGCGATTTCCGCAAGCAAGGGCTTGGTTGCCAACGCTGGCTATGAGTCGTGGAGAATTGGTAGCTTGATGGGTTTGGATTTCTACTTGCACCTTTTGAGCAACCCCGGTATGCGCAAAAATTGCCCCCAAAAGTAAAAGGGGGAAGCAGCCAGCGTTAGCCAGGCGCGGGGTTGCCCTTTTGGGGAACTCAGCCCCGGCGTTTGGTCCTTGGAATCGGACAGTCGAGCCGCCGAATGCAAATCCGGATTCGAGCCTGCAACCACGGGCTTAGTTGATCATGTGTCCAACATGGCCTGGACACAACGGTTGCCTGTAATTCCATACATGCGCCTCGGCCAAAGAACAAACTTGAGCACGGGGCCCCGGCACCTTCCTCAGAAGGCCCAAACCTTCCGAGGACCTGGTTAACAGAGATGGTTGGCGGAAAAACCCTGCTTTGCCCTTGTAGGTGTCCTTTTGTAGCTTGGTGAAATGGGGTTGCGGACTTCCTGGGAGGAGTAAAAGGGGAGTGCTGGGCTCCGATTTGGTTTTGGACATGAGCCTGGGGAGTAGCCAATGTCCAGTTTGAACTACAACAAGAGGAGGGGCTCAGAAGCACAGCGTCAGTTCAGGGCTCTCTGAGTATTCTGCCTGACTGTGACTGGCTCACGTAGGTGAAGTGAAGGAAGCTCTCGGCCGTGCGCACCTTTGTAAACCAGGGAATCTGAGTGATGTTTTGCATAGGCTTGGGGATTCCCTTCAACGAAACCTTTCAAAGAACTGTGGCATGGGGGTCCTTCTCTTATGCCCTGCCTAGAACCAGCAAGTAGCTTCGTATTTTGGCTGAATGGTTGAAAGAAAAACATCGGGTTGCAGTTCTCGGACCTATTCGACCCATGGAAGATGGGTACCAAATTGCAACCTGGGAGCGGGCACACGTAGGTGGGCTGCATTGGCCTCCACCCGCCTTCATACTGAAGGTGGGAAATCCTCACCTTTTGGTTGCCACTAAAGTGGAAATCGGTTTTTTGCTGTTTGTTTCCCTTTAAAACCGCAACATTTCGGGTACCCTCAAACCAGGTGACCCCGTAGCCGTGCCCAGTGCCGAGGTTCATACCACTGCGAGTTCTCCTTGTGGTGTTCCTTCCCGTAGCATCTGTGACGAGCCACGATGCGCCACTCGAGATGCAGGCCGCCTGCCTGAACCCTCGATCAGATTCTGGTAGACCGGTAGAACGAACGAAGCCCTTAGGTATGCGTGAAAATATGGGACCCCGGGACCCAAAACCGTGGTGTCCTTGTTGGTTCCCGGGAGAAAAAAAAAGCCAAAGAAGGGTGCATGACTTGTGGGGCTCCGCATTTTGCGCCTTCTGGCTGACAATGAATAGCCTCACTTGGCAATCAGGCTTCCTCCCCTAAGAATTCAGTTCCACGTCAACATCTTCAAGGGAGTACTTGTCTCTTCCCAAAGACCTTTACACCTCCCATAGATGGCCTCAGGCATCGCCATCTAGCACAGTTTCTTCGGGGCATCAGTCATTTATGGCTCCATCTTTTGTCCGCTAGGTCCCCCAGTAGTGCTATTTTACCCTTTTTTGGGGAGGGTTCCCCCAAATCAAACCTGGAGGACCTAGTCTGGGAACCACACACTGAACCATGGGGCCCCTTCTGGTGGTTTACCTTCAGGCCTTTCTAAGATGGCATCCCTCTCTCCCATCTCGGTGATTTGCCTCCAGGCCGTGTATGGTTTTCGTCTCCTTGTTATGTTCGATGTGTTGTTTGCTTGATATTATCATTTTTATTGACATCATTACTAGAGTAGTAGCATCATCGATATCATTATCTTTTTGTATCCTTATCATTATTTACTGCTATTTTCGTATTACATAGTTATTTCTTCGTTTATTCTCCGGGGGGCGCGTGGTTTGCGCAAGCCTCTTCCAGCCCTTCCGTCAGAGGACCCCCGGACGGAGTTCCGGCCGCCGGCCGCCGAGCGCCGAAACCCGCGAGGTCAGCTCGGCGGGGGAGATCGGCCCCCGCAGGGCCATGATGCGCGCGGAGAAGTTGGCCCTGGAGGCGCCGGAGCCCCGTGACACGGGAGCCCATGTCGGTTGGGAGCTCGCCTCCTCAAAAAAAAAACGCCAAACTTTTCGTGAAACTTTTTGGGGGGTGGCCTGGGAGTATATGTAAAAGATGAGAGCTTCCCCAGGGCGCAGGGAGGGAGTTTTAAGGGGTAAGGGAAGGTAGGTGAAATGACTTCACCCATGTTAGTCGGGAATTGAGTGGGGGTTGGGATGTGCACCGAACCTAACTGGGGTTTTGACCCACGGCCATATTTCGGAGTTCGGGCGGGCGGTGGGCTTCGTTCACGCGGCGCCTTTTGGGATTTGGGGTTTGGTCCGCCCGTTTTCTCCCGTTTGGCTGAAAGCCATGGGTCCAAGAAGGCCCAGCTCCGGGACCCGTGGGTTCCGGGACCCGCGGGGTTCCGGAAGGGTTCTCTTGGAGGGTTCAGGGGATGCAGGAAGCAGCTGCAAGGGCTGGGCGGTTCCGAGCTCACGGGATGCATGCCGGCTCCCAGTGCGGATGTTGCCTCTTGTTGGTTGATATTTCAGGGACCAAGAGCAAGCCGAGGTTGGGCCCTCCGATTCCCAAGGAGACACCCAAAGGGTGGACCACCTCACAGTGGTAGGAAGGGAGACCTTTTTCGGGGACTGGTTCTACCCTCCCGGGGATTTGTTGGGCCAAACCGAAGGTAAACTGAAGGTCAACAGCACAGGCTGGGGGTTAAAAAAGCAAGCAAGGCCCATTTTTGGGGTGCAATGCAATGTCGACCGAGATTAGACACCCAGCACATGTCCTGGTTTTTTTTGGTTGCCGCAGGCAGACATGAAATCAGCTACCAAAGGGGTGCCCCGGATTCTTTGGAGGAAATGTTTGACAAGTTAAGCGGTTACCCACTTGGGAAGTGAAAGCTCTACGACCGAACACCCAAGTCCCTGTCCCCCCCCCACTTCGGCGTGCGCGTTAATGACCAGCCCTTGAAGGAACCTCTCTTTTTTTCTTCTGCGGTTTCCAACATCAAGCTGAAGTGGACGGAAATACGGGCGCCCTAAATATTGCAAGGGGAACAGGGAACTCCCGAATCTACAGTAATGTTCTATGGTTTTGTGACTTCGGATGGAATCCGTTCACAGTCGCGGCTTTGTCTTTTTCCGTCAGGAAGCCAGCAGCGACGCAACCACCACTGCGGCCAAAACAACGACTGCAGCCAAAACTACGACTGCAAAGGCCACTACCACAGAAAAGCCCACGACCACAGAGAAGAAGACAACCACTGAGAAGAAGACAACGACTGATAAGAAGACAACCACTGAGAAAGCCACAACCACCGAGAAGAAGACTACTACAGCAAAGGCCACTACCACGGAAAAGGCCACTACCACTGCAAAGCCCACAACGACTGAGAAGAAGACAACCACTGCAAAGCCCACAACTACTGAGAAGAAGACAACCACCGAAAAAGCCACAACCACTGAGCAGAAGACGACTACTGGAAAGGCCACTACCACGGAAAAGCCCACAACTACTGCAAAGAAGACAACCACTGCAAAGCCCACAACTACTGAGAAGAAGACAACCACTGAAAAAGCCACAACCACTGATAAGAAGACAACTACTGCAAAGGCCACTACCACTGCAAAACCCACAACGACTGAGAAAAAGACAACCACCGCAAAGGCCACAACCACGGAGAAGAAAACTACGACTGCAAAGGCCACTACCACTGAAAAAGCCACAACAACTGGCAAAACAACTACAGCAAAGCCAACTACGACCGGAAAAGCCACGACGACCGGAAAGAAAACAACCACAGCAAAGGCCACAACAACTGAAAAGGCCACGACCACTGGCAAGAAGACGACTACAGCAAAGCCTACGACAACAGCTGACGAAGAGACGACTACTACTGCTGACGAAGAGACGGCCACTACAGAGGAGGATGAGACCACCACCAAAGAAACCACGACGGCAGAGAGCACAACCACAGAAGCCACCACAACATTGGAGAAGACCACAACCAAGAGCACAACCGAATCAACAACAGAGCCCGAGGAGACTACCACAAAGTCAACTACACTTGAGGAGGAGGAAGAAGAGATGACTACAACGGAAGAGAAGGAGGAGACAACCACTCGGAGCACAACTGAGTTGAGTACCACCAGAAGTACCACTGAGGCAGGACGCGCGCGAGAAAATCAGGGTCCGTTGCTGGCTTGGCCCTGAAACATGGAAAAGCTCATGTGGTGGTTTGTGTATATGAATCCGGGCCGCAATGATGCCCGCCGAAAAGGTCCCCAATTAACATGTGCGCCTATGTCACTTGGTGGTTCCCCAGCCATCCCATTAGGTTTTGGTCTTTTAGGATTTAGTGGAAGCATATGGCCGCCCCTCATGGCTTGGGCATTAAGAATCGAAATCGTGTGACTGGCCCTGAAATGATCGAAATGCAACGTGTTATTTCGGAAGCAAAGGCTTGGCTGGCCTCAATTCGACATGAGACGTCAATACTTGTATTTCTGGTCATGTTCCACTCCAGCAACTTTCATGTCACCCGCATGCTGATGCATGATAGCCCTCCGCAAGAGAAAGGGAATCAAACAACTGGGCTATGGGCTATCCGCAAGATCCTTCCCTTGCGTACGAAAGGATTTGGTCCCTTTGTAGTGGTTGTCCCATATGGAATACCGGATCGGGCAACACTCCATTTAGAACAGCCCGGAGCAGCAATGCAGTGACGCGTCTTTGGGTCATCCTCTACCCCCCTACCCACCCAAAACGCGAAGGATACTTTAATGCACCTGGAACATGCGTGGACTGTCTTGGTCGACCATCTCTGCTAGTTCCGTGGATTGCATCGTGGCCGAGCAGTAACAACAATGACGCCGGATCAGACAAATAATATTGGCGGACTTGGGTTTGCAATTGAGCTATGGTTGGCCCTTTGATCGGACTTGTGGCCGAGCCAAACACATGGCGCTGAACCTTCCTGCTCATCCAACTCATCTTAGTCCTGGCTGCTTTTGGGTCGGATTCTGGCCGGCCCAAGCAGCGCCTGACTGCCGCCATAAGGTCTTCTCATGCGACAGGGGCCCCTCCAGTGAAGATGTTTTGGCGTTTTGGAAATTACTTTTGGGGGGTTCCTTCAAACTGCCCTTGCTTTTTTGTTCTTGGCCCCATCCGAATCAACCGGATCTAGCCTTTTTGGTTTCCCTTGGTCGGAAGCTGAGCGGTTCTGGAAGACTAGGCAAGAGGCTAACCTTCTGTGCATGCGAAATCCATTTCGCACCAGGTTTCTGATGATTCCCCAATGTAAATACCAACAATGATCAATATTTCAACCATGGTTTCATTTCGTGGTATCCGCAGTATGCAACGGAGAACCGCTAATGCCACTGGACGAGGCGCCGACGACCACCGAGCCAACCACGAAGCAGACGACACTGGCCACGACGCAGCTTGAATGATCGTGGATTGGATCTTGAACCTTTCACTTTTTCATCGGAAAGGTTTGTTTTCCCGCAAACTAAGCAACAAGTGAAACTTTTTGCGCTTGGGGGCAATAGCACAAAGGAAAATGACAACTGCTAGCACTTCATCATCTACTTTGTCTACATCTACGACCTCTACAGTTGCGCTGAGCAACACCAGTGTTGCAGTGAGTACAACGCCTGATACCACATCCAGCACGACTACCGAGTCTTCAAGTTCAACCACTACGCTGCCGCTCACGACTCCTCCAAGCACGATGACGCAGACGTCTACGACCACCACAACTGAAACCTTCACATCAACCGTGACCAACACGACCACCCTTCAACCAGCCACCACCACAGTGACAGCGAGCTCAACTTCAACCTCAACAGTGACAGAGACTCGAACCCGCACCAGCACCACAGAGATGATCACCACGCGGCCCAATCCCACCAGCACGGTGCTCCTGAATTTCACTGATGAGGACAGGGGTCGTCAAACAAGATATATATATATATATATATAGATAGACCTATAGTTATATATATATATATAAGTTGTATGTATACATGATCCCTTGCTGGAATCCAAAGCCCTATCATTTGTTATATTTGTGGAGGAAACTCTCTTCTCAAGCAAGCCAGGGGGGAGTTCGAGTTTGTCTTTTTCGGAAATCTTCCGATTGCAGCCTATCCGATTGATGCCAGATCCGGTTTCAGTCCAACCAGAAGTAGCTCCCCTCTTCTTGACTGCTCGGTGGACATACTGTGGATGGACGAAATCCTGCACCACCTAAGACACCCTGGTTTCTGATGGTTCCCCTGTAAATACCAGCAAGCCATGTTTTCCCGCTTCAAAGTGGTGCAGGATTTTGTCCATCCACAGTAGGATCCCCACCTAAAGGGTGTCCACAGGGTTCCTTATTGACTGCTAGGTTGGATCTTCATGGAAACTTTAACCTTGTTGCTTGAAATCAAGGGGGGTTTCCATGAAACCCACAAAAAGTTGAATTTTTTGCAGAGGGGTCAACAGCAACCAAGTTTTGTTGTTTTTTTGCTTTTTGGGGCTCTCCTTTGCTTTCCACAGTCCTGTTTGTTTGGTGGACAACCTCGAAGGGAGGTTCCTCAGATGAGACATGTTTCGAGCGACCAGGAGAGCGACATCCTCATCTCCCTTACCTATCTTCATGAAATGTTTGTCATCTTGTCACCTTCTTGTCAATATGTGGTTAAATACACAGAGAGACACCCGTATCTATCCTTTCACCTTGCGGTAAACTCCTTTCCTTCTTCCCCCCCCCCCTTTAGGAGACACACATCCTCATCTGCATTACCCACCTGTAGGTTTTGTGTTGCACCCTCTCTCATCCCGGGCTTTGTTCTTTTGGACAACCTTTGAGCAGGGTTCCTGTTTTTGTTGGGTTGACCACACCCCAAGTGAGGTTCCTGAGATGGGTATGTGTCAAAATTAAACCACCAGGGGACCGCAAGTTTTAGTCCATATTTCCATTTGCCAGGTTGTTAGATGCCTATTTTTGACCCGCAGCCAGAGACATGTTTTTAGAGCAAGGAGACCGACATCCTCATCTCCCTGGAGAAGGGCGGGCTGATGGGCACCCTGGCCAACGCCCTGTCCCTGGAGCAGGCCGCCATGGCGTGCACGGCGGCGGGCAGCAAGCTCTGCAGCGCCAGAGATGCTGAGACCTCTGGCGGGAAGGATCTGGGGCGTGACTCGAACATTTTGCTTTGGGGATGCTCAGCTTTTTGAGTGGTTTGTAAGGGAAAGGCCACGGAAGACACAGGGGTGGCTCCATTTTTGTTTTTTGGGGTGCTCAGCTTTTTGAGGTGTTTAAGGGAAAGGCACGGAAGACACAGGGGTGGCTGGATTCTTTTTGGGGTGCCCATCTTTTTTGGTGGGTTCTTTTAGGGAAAGGCAAAGGAAGAAGAGTTTTTGGGAGATCGACTTCTGGAAACCCAGCGGCCTCGCCTCTCGCCTTTCGTTGCAAGCAGGGCTGACATGGAATTGAGGATGTCAAACCACTCCAATGAAGAACTTGAAAGCGGGTTCCACTGGACTAAGCACTTGAAAGTATTTTACCGGATGGACTTTTCAAGATTGAAGGTTACACAGAAGTCTTTCCGGAGAATCGTCAATCCTGGCCAAACAACTTTCAAGTTGGGCCGGCCCCGAAAAACTTTACAAGTTGCGCTACAACCTCAGGTATTTGACCACTGGATATTCAAGATTGAAGTCATGTCCGAGAATCTTGTCCTCTCACTTTGATCCAGGAATTGTGGGAGCTTGGAGAAATGCATATGACTGCAGATGGGCCCTGGGTGCGCATACTTGGTTGCAGAAGTATGTATTGAACACCTAGAGTACTGGGACAACCCTGGATTTGTTTTAAGGATTCTGGGAATCAAGATGCAAGATTCCAAAAAGAATGTTCTCAGATTCTTGAATCCAGGAATTTGTTTGAACAAATAAGAAAAATCCAGGTTGTTCCAATGCTCTGAGTTTGATGCATCCTCTGTCAGATGGCAGATGTTGATATCTTGGCGTACAGTACATATGAAAGCACACATGCATATATACATATGGTACCCCCCCCCCCCGCCTCCCCCAATTTTGCCACCAAATCAACGAGGCAAAAAGGCACAGCACATTGGAAAAACACACAGCTCAAGCTCACCAAACCAGGGCCATAGGGGGGGACTATATATATATATATATGTATATATATACATATATATGCGTCTATATATATATATACAGATATATATATATATATATATATATATATATATGTATTCCCAATTTTCATTTACCAGACCTACCAACTATTTTTGACAACCACACCCGTGTCCAAATTTGGATTGCGCGGATCCCTCGATCCCTCGATCCCTCGATCCCTCGATCCCTCGATCCCTCGATCCCTCGATCCCTCGACCCGTCGCTTCAGCGGAAGCGGCAGCGATTCGAGGGACGGGTGGGCGAAGTTCCGCAACTCCGGCGCGGCGGGGCGGGCCTTCTCCGCGTGGATCGCCGCAGGCGCAGGCGCGGACGGCTACGGGCGGAACGGGGGGGCGGGAGCGGAGGTGGGGTACTTGGCTAGGTCCCCCTATAGGTGCCCTTTTGTGTTTTTTGTGTTTTTTTGTTTTTGGGTTCTAAAATAGACTACAGAAAAAAAAGTTGGTACCCTCATTCGAGCCTCTCTACTGGAGGACTCAGTCCACCAATCTAGCTACCCTGTCCACAAACATGGAAGCCAAAGGGCCCATATTATTTTGGGAAGGAACCGTGTCTTCCACCTCAGTCAGGTTCCATGGTAGTGGAGGAGGGTTCGTAGGTTGCAACCATGGTTGCAACTAGTCCCCTTATTACCTGGTGATAGCCTACTTGTTAAGTAGCTTGAACACCCGAGGCAGTTAGACCTGGGGAATCTTGGATCTGACTTTGCCTGGAGTCGGGACCCTCGGAAAACCGTCGATATTTTTAGAGTGTATGGAGCAGAGTCAGAGCAGATGTTCTCTTCCCCAGATGTGGGACTAGTTGTCGTTTTTGGTTTTTGGATTGGGGCACGTTCTAGGTTTAGGAGTTTACGATTTGGTTCAACAAGAATTCGGGAAAACCCAACCAACAAGAGGATAATGTTTTGTGGCCGGGGCAACAGTACTGCTGACTTCGGATCACTTTGACCATGCGCAAGCGGCACAGGTGTTGATGCCCAAATGGGTGCCTCTGAAAACAACTACGCACCAACCGAGGGTCCGCTATTTTGTGAACAGAAGGTGATCCCACGGGGGCTGTGCTTGTTTGCAGGTGGCAAACGAAAACTCAGATGGAGAACCCCCCGAGAGCTGTACTTTTTACGCAGGGAGCAAAGAACACATCAGATCGAGAAAGCCCCCAAGTGGCTGTACTTTTTCGCAGGTAGCAAAAAAGAAAAACGAGACATCCCCCCCAGTGGCTTAACCCCGAGCTAGGTCCCCCAGTAGTGCCCTTTCTCTCCCCTTTTTTGGGGGAGGGGTCCCCTACTAAAATAGACTACAGCAAAAAAGATTGGGTTCCCTTCTTCGAACCTCAAACTATTGGAGGACCTAGCCAAGAAATCGCGGCTTTCTCAGGCTGCATCGTGGAGAAGAAGATGTCCGTGGAGCAGATCCCAGTGAGCTGCGGGCACTCTGCGACTTCCCAGCTCCTGGGACCTTTTGAGTGGCCTTCGGCAGTGGGATGTTGGAATGTTGGCATGTGGGTTAAAACCAATGGGATCCAAAAAAAATTGGGGGGAAGGGGTCCCTTTTTTGGTTGGGTACTCTGTTGGTGGTGGTTTTCAATCAAAAGGAAACCCACCCGGTGTATGGGGATCACTCCATTTGGAGACAATCTTATGTGGGTGTAAAGACAAGGCGAGCCATTTTGGATGTTTCCAAGGAGAATGGGGCCCAGACTACTTCTAGGCTTCCCATGATCAACGCCTATGTTGATTTGAGTTTTGAGGCAGACCTACTGTGGATGGGCGAAATCCAGTCGCAGAAGCCATGAAAGGAAGGCGCCGCGAGCATTTGGTTGCGTCGCATAAGGTACGACGCCTTGTGCTGCCAGAAGGAGGTGGGGCGCGGTCAGGGCACACGTTGAACAATACTTTGGTGCATTTTGCTTGGCTGTTAGGACTAACTTTTTGCCAACTAATGGGTTTTCCACTAAACCACCAAAAGTTAAAGTTTTAGCAGGGGAGCAGAAAGCAACCGAGAATATTTTGATGAGCTCTGGAAAGAGGGAAACCCAGAGGACCATTTGTTGCCAATCTCAAGCGAGCTGCCTTTTAAGGTGATTATTTTCGGTTGGACATGCAGGCAACGGCGGCTGGTTTCTAGGTTGGACAAATAGGCAGCCCAAGAACGACCCCAACCGACCCGGGTTCTGGGTTGGACATATAGGACCCAAACCGGCCCGCCGGTTTTTGAGTTGGAAAATTTCGGGAACCCCAAGCCGCACCGCGGGTGCGTTTTGAGGCGGGGCTTGTTAATTGAAGGTTAGTTACTTACGGCGGGGAGGGGTTGCCTTACAAGGCTGCTCGGGGTTGTTTTGTTTTGAGGTGTGTTTTTGCCAGGCTTGGTGTCTCTTTGTGTTGCTGCTTGAGGTTTCTTGAAGCCACTCGATCGAGTCTTCCGCGTCTCGCCCGGCCAATCCATGGGCCGGGCGAGTCGCGGGTCGACGGCAGGTGCCCAGCACCACTCCGGCCACCCGCAGCACCACCACCGAGGAGCTGCCGACCAGCCAGCTGGCCACCACCCGCGGAGCTGGGGATCTGCCGTTCCAGGCGCCGGAAGGGAGGGGTCCCTCATGGCCGTGGGTCAAAACTGATGGGATCCCATGTTGGGGGTTTGCGGTGAAATTCGCCACCCATTCTAGAACCTATTTGAGTGGTTGGATTGGCATGTTCACTGGGGGTACAGGGTCATGTCCATTTCGAGAAGCACCCAACTGCTCATAAAGATCTTGGTAAAATGTTGACGGACTGAAGAAACCCCAGTTTAGTAATAGGGGCCCCGGTGGTTTTTGGGCGGAAGGTGGTTGGATTCCGACCATTTTGGGAGGGGCCAAAACCAAGCTCCCCTGTTGAACTGGGGAACCGCCTGTGGGAAACCAGAAGAAAACCCACTCGTTTTTTGGGGGGTCCCCGAACAAAAGACACACCCACATGGGCGCGTCTCAAAGGAATCGGATCCTCAGTAGGGGTTGTTAAGCAGCTTTTGGCGTTTTTTTGCCGATCCGTGGGCATTTGTTTCAGACCTCCACTGTCGCAGGGTTTTTGACCTCGTTTTGTTCGAGAGGACCTTGCAAGCACGACCACATCCTTTCATAACCCGCCGCTTACACCATTTTGGGTACTGAGTCTCCCTTGGCAGCAAGCCATGCATGTTTTCGCCATCCCACCTCCTCTCATTTTGTTCGCTTGCGCGGCTATGTTGCGGCTCCAGATGCGGGGAGCAAGACGCGCAAGACGCGCACTGTTCGCGGCAAAGGGATCGATCCGTTCCCTGCCGGCCCGCCGGGTTGGTTAGGGACAGAAAGGGAAAACCGGAATATGTCGACATGTGGGGTGGTGACTCCTAGACGGCTTCGACTCTGAACCCAAGAGGCTCAGGTTTCTTGTCTCAGGTTGGTTGTTGGTTTTTTTTTTTTTTTGTGGCTCGGTTAGAGTGGATTTTGCTGGGCCAGCGGGTGGAGCGGTTTTTTTTTCCCCCGGTACTGGGGACATTCCTTTCACCAGGCCCCTCCAACTTCAGATTCATCGCTTGGTTCCAAGAAATTGCTATGTGGTCATTCGGGCAGAGATGTAATGTTTACCCCATATTCATCAACCCCAGCCTCCGAAAGTGGTCATTCCCCACGTTTCACCCAGGGACAACGGGATTTCGCTGGGTGGGCTCAACATGAGTTTCCAAGTTAGCGTGTGCTAAGCGCCAGGATGGGGACGAGGAGGAGATCGTCATCCCCGAGACAACTTGGGTGCCGGAGACC